CTAATCTTGCATTTAAATAATAATGGTATGACAGTTTATGTATAATTAATGCATTTTCTTTGAAATTTTATTGATTTTCTTGTCTTACAGGTATTTTATTTTTACCTTTTATAAGTCGTTAAAATGTATTATATCTTAGATGCATTGTTTATATTAAAGTATTGTTATTTGAAATACTTGTCTATCGATGTTCATACGTTGTGTTTATTATAAATGCCATTAATTTGCAACAATAAATGTATTATTGAACAAAGTGTATCTTATTTAAATAAAATATAGGATAAAATTGCTAAATAAACCTCATTTTGATATAAACAGCGTTTTATTGATTAAAAATAACATTAAGACATCTTTTGAGAAATTTAATTTATAGTTATAATACTGGAAATGACCATAAATTATGATAGTAATAGTACAGTTAACCTTTCATGGTCGAACGATGTAGAAAAACGAAAAACAAGACTGAACAGATATAGTTGATCCCGCGCTAAAAATTCGTACTTTTAAAAAGACCTTTTGCAACTTATGCTCTCCTAATACAAATTTTCAGATTTAACAAACTTTTCAGTTTTGCGTCATATACAAGGGGCGGTCGAAAAGTTATGGAACGACAAAATTTCAAAAACAATTTTTGATTTTTCCATTACTTTATGACCAACCCTCGTATTTGGCTCAAAACCGAAACTTTTCATAAATTCCAAAATTTGTATTAGGAGAGCATAAGTTGCATAGGATCTTTTTCCATTACTTTCTGATCAACCGTCGTATTTGATTCAAATCCTAAGTGACTGCAGCGCCATCTAGCGGTACGCTCTTGAACTCCAATAGTTCAACAGTTTGTCACAAGAGGCGCCACCGTCGCGGCCCCCTTGCGGCAAATCGATGAACTAAGCAGTTCAGTCATCCCCCGCTAGAGGGCGCTGCAATCACTTAGGTTCCGTGAATAAAAATGAATACTCATCTAAGGATAGCCAAGGTCACACATTTTAACTTGTAATTTATTTATTTTGCTTTGTTTTAAATACATTCAACTATTACACTGATCAATGGCGATCGAAAGTCAGACATTTAACTTTTATTGATTTTACTTTGTTTTAAATGCATTCAACAACTATTACACAGGTAAAACACGCAAATGATAAAACAATAATGAGTTGATTTATTTATTTAGACAAAAATTACATCTATTACAACGATATTTATAATACACGATACAAACAAAATATCTCAGAAATAACAGTTTATAATGACTTATAAAAGTTACCACACAAAATACCTAAAAGAGAAAGACAAGAAAACAAATGGAGTTTCAAAGAAAATACAAGAAAGAACGTTATTTATTTATGAACTCTCATATTATTATTGAAACACATGATTAGGGAGAAAAAAGGCCCCCTAACCCTCTGTGGCCTCCACATCTCCCCTTATAGCCATCCTATCCACCCAAACGATATTAATTAACAAATAATTAATTTAGTTTTAACAATTATGCCAAAAAATCAATTTAGAAACATTTTAAATATCAACCTAAGTTGCAATTAAATAATATAACAGTTCATAAAGTAATAAACAAAATACCTGTAAAAGAAAGACAAGAAAACATGAAATTTCAAAGAAATTACAATAAAAAGCAAAAAAGAAAATGATGTCTTCGTTCTTCTTAGGAAATACCTCATTATCTGAAAGCAAATAGTGCAAAATTAACAGGACTAACGGCAAATACTAATAGTTTTGGTAGAGAAGATCGGACAGATTTCGCCAAGGCAAGCTGGGCAGTCGCCTATTGCTCCTATTCCAGATAACCCACTGTACCCTGTCTGAAAGGAAGTAACGCTAGAGTAGACTCGCGAAAAGTGTATAAGACACTTTTAAGATCAACTAAATAGCTAAGCCCAAGGGAAGTCGTTCGGGGAGGCCCTCCCTAATTCCACAAGGGTGAGAAGAAACACACACGATAACGAAACGTTGAATCATGTAGAACTCGTAGGGTAAATGCAAAGCAAATTAGGAAGAATATGCAGTAAGCTAAGCGAAGAGGTAAGCAAGGTTAGACTATACTACAACTACTAAACGTGTTATTTCTACTACTACACTACTACTACATACAAAAAAAAAAAAAAACATCTACAATCAACAATTACTTCAAATAAAATGAACAAAAATAAGCATGCAAAATAAAAACTAATTCAAATTAACTACAAAAAAACATGCAAAATAAAAAATTAATTTGAATAAAATCAACTTAATGAATTCTACTAGATAGAGCATGCAAGATAAAGAACTATTTCAACTACGGGGTCATCTCTGTCTTCTCCAACGTCGATCTGAAACAGATACGGTAGCAAATTGATTAATAAAGAGCAATTAAAATTAGTTATATCAAGTATTCTCACCTTAATCAACTGTAGATTGTAACATCCCAAACTTTGCAGGTGTAAAAAGCAAAACAAATCCGGCAAGAATACCATCCCAGAAAATTTGTTGTTTCCATGGAATTCAAGTTAATCTCCAGTTGCTCTCACACATCAGTTGAAAATTAACTTCATGATGTTGTTGACAAAGATGTAAACAGCTAATCACATTGGTTGTTTCAGTAGGACCAAGCTGAACTTTATTTCTTTCCCAATTGTTGAACACTGCAGAAATGAAGAAAAAACGTATTAATCACACTATTAATTACGGAAGGCATGAAACACCTAAACGAAAGAAATAATAAATTACACTCTCACATAAATAAGATATGAAATACAACAAAACATGCATCAAAACGCAAGTAAAATGACAGAATTATAAAATGGCGACAAGTGTCAATTTAAATCATAGCATAGATAAATGTTGCGAACTAATCATAGATGCATACAACGCCAATTTATGATGTAGACAATAGATAATTGTAAAAGAAATACCAAATATCACAGATCACGGTTAAGTATGTCTATGGTTAAGTTGCCGTTGATAATACATAAATGTCAGAAGGAAAACCATAGATGCTACAGATGACAAATTACTACGAATATAAAGTATAGTAAAACAATTGCTTACCTCGAGGATTATCGAAGGTGTTCGGGTTTTATTCCTAAGCGTTGACAGCAGAGAGTACCTCTAACAATAGATACTTTTGAAAGGAATAATGATACCATTGACAGTGAAATGAGCCACAGAGCAGAAGACACAACATCACATGCGCAACCTTAGAACAACCAACCATCAGTGTGAATTGGACCGCATGTTTCTTCTAAAAAACATTACAGGGGCTTCACTTCTCCAGGTTTCGAATCCTTCTTACTTGTCTCCTTGTTCATTTAAAGTGTTTAAATGATAACCTGTTGAAACAATTTAATGTTACTTTCATCTTAAATATTATGTATTAAAATATTAAGAACCATAACTACTATCAATAAAATTATAAAATATCAAACTTAATCATTAACTACTACAATTCAGAAAAGTAAAAAATTGTAGCAGTAACTATTGTCAAACTAATGAAGTACAAGATTTAAAAATTCACAATTCACTTCATAAATCCTTTCCAAGTCCAATAGAAGAAACTATGAATGGGGGGGCTCTGTTTCTCCACGTTTCGACTCCTTTTGATTTACCTCCTCATGTTCATCTTTATGTTTTAATGGAAACCTGTTGAAACAATTTAATATTACTTATATGTTCACTAGGTTTTGTTATTTTATTATTAATGATAATTACCATTGTTAACATCTTATGTCCAATGAATTTTTCAATCAGCCCATTAGTGGCATTTTTTGGAAATAAAATAAGTCACACTGTTACAGACATTACATCTGTAGTAGTTTTGTCCATCAAATCCTAGGTTGTTATCTCACAGCAAGCCTGTATTAAAAAAAAAACGAGTTAAAACTCTAGAATAACGAGGCAAAAATGAAAATTTTTCTAATAGAAATAAAGAATTTTTGAAGGCAGAGTAATATTTTTGAGAAATATTTTACACATTTTGGCTATAAAACGAAGGCAATTTTTCGAGGCGTGGTCACATCGATACGAAAAATCTACAATCATCGCCTAAACCTGTTTTGAAAATTTAAAAATTTTAACAAAACTATAATTATTCGACCTCAAATAAACTAAGAGTTTATAAAAATTCACAGTAGATGAACGAACGGGCAAGATGCCAAGATGGACTCCCATGTTGAAGCACGAAGACATCGCGTCAAAAAAGATCTAAGCAACGGTAATCGAAACCCGTCAATCACGAAATAGAAACATATTCCACACAATCAAATGAAAATTGAATAAGGATTAGCGCTAAATACCTTCAGGCGTCGTCTCCCTTTATAGACAGCGTAAATCAACGGACAGCAAAAACGAGATACACTCATGCACTGCATACTGCTGTAAGGCTTGCAAGAATATTCTAAAGCTATGCCCGAAACGGTGATGACGTAGAAACGGTACGCAGAAGCATCATATTAGACCTCTGCGACGGTTATTATTATTTTCGTAAGAAATCGTTCGAACAACATGAGTCAAGAGATAACGATATAAGATAATACATTCAAACAGTTCCTTTCACCGTGTCTCTTTACCCCGCTTCCTCAGCTAGGTTAAAAGCAATTTCGTTTGAAGAATAAACGATAAAAACTCATAAAAGCAGACACGAATTCAGGAAAATATTTCCACTATTAAATTCAAACAGAATTTTTATTATTCATTTTCATTGAATTAATTCCGAAAATAAACGAAATTTTGTAATTAAAATTCAAGTATAGTTAAGTATTTATACAGGGTGTTTCGCAACTGAAGAGAAAAAATGAAATGTTATATCAAAAAACTAGAATTCTAATTATAAATCAAAAAATAACTTTCTTCAGATAGAATTTCATTTAGATTTTCAGTTTTAAAAAATACGTTAATATTTTATTTAACAATTCATTTATTATTCTAAAGTAGAAAAAAAGCAAATACATATCAATAAAAGTTATTTTAACTCAACCCTTTAGATATTTTATAGGACCACTTAAAACGATTAGTTTATGTTGAGCCAATTAACACTATTGAGCAATTAAACGACTACGGGTCCATCTTTGTCTTCTCCAACGTCGATCTGAAACAGATACGGTGGCAAATAGATTAATAAAGAGCAATTAAAATTAATTAAAAATTCATTTATATCCGTCCAAGAGAAAACTCACCCGATTAGCGTTTAATTTGATGTATGTATGTATTCTTACCTGAATTAGCTGTAAAATGTCGTTACATGTGTGTAAATCAAATTGAGAAAGGATAGCAGGTCAGACATCCCATGTCATCATCGCTAAGACCAAAATTAACTTCCCAATCTAACTTATTTGTTAGCCAATCTCTAGAAACGGACAAAAAAACACTCAATTAATATTTTAAACTCTGTTTTAATAACTTCTTTTCATGAAACATTAAATATTAATGATTTTGAAATCGCCATGAACACAGGCACGCCCGCAAACGAAAAACTGCAAAAATCAAAGAAAAATAGGTAAAGGAAACACATCTCATATACAACCATAAACACACCAGTGTAATTTCGATTGCATACTGATAATTGCTCAAAAATTATAATATTAAAGCCATTTAAATATTATTTATATTTTTCAAATCAATAGAATGAACTAGAAAAATTTTGAAAGAACATTTTAACGAAAAAGTGCGTCACATCTGAAGTTATCATACTCTGCCTTTTATTTCCAAAAACTAAAAAGTACTTGTAATAAATCCCCTGAAAGAATTAATATTTCCGAAATTGATATAAAATTGATTAATAATTATAAATAAATAAAATGTGAATGTACCTATATTAATTGACCATTAGCACATATTCGAATTGCAAATATAAATTCTTGATTAATATTCATAAATTGTACTTTTTAATAAATAAATTATTAATATATGCTGCATCTATTTTGTTTTTTAAAAGGCTTAGAGTCTGTTATTCAAATAAATAAAACTGTTTTATGTGAGGTTTTAGGTATTTGGTGTTTTACTTACTTTGTTCCTCAAAAATTGTTTTTTCTTGCATGAACATTTATTTACCTAAAATTATGAATGAATTTTTTCTTGTTCTATGTATTCTCATTTTAATTACCTACATAATGTCCCAAGGAAAAGAAATCTCGTAAGAAGGATACCTTCATATCAGTGAAAGTGAAAGTGAAATTTCAATGTGCTCTTATTTCATTCACAACTCAAACTTTCCTAAAAAGCACAACAAAACAGGCTAAATACACTACTGCATTTATAAGATACAATTACAGATAAAAACAAAGCAAATATTACAACCTGCTGAAAATCAGTTCAATTATTTGACTGCAAAACAGTTCATTCTACAAATTCAAACAATCCTACCTTTTGATCCAATCTGTTCGTGTCCATACTGGTCATAGCCCTATTTTTCATCATGCAATCGTTTCTACAAAGGATTAAAGGAATATATATCACAAGTATTATATATTTCTAAAATATGGTTTCTACCTCCAGAAGTAACAGCACTAATTAACTACGACTAATCGACTAATTACTCGATGTACAAAAGTACCATTTTCTGAACATACCCATAGAACATATCACGTACCATAGTCTTCATTCCGCGCATGCGTATTAGTAATACCAATGAAATAAATTTCACACCAACTGTGAGCCGAACATCTGTGAGTAAAGTGTAATTCATAGACAAGGGATATACATAGACGATATATTCTTATCTACGGGATACTGCAATTTGATGTTTATCTATGACATGATAATAATATCCAATTTATCATATATCATTTATGAATTAATATGTAAATAAGAAAGTTTAACCTAATTTTTCATGTGGAGTAGTTTACGATTCACAATTTATTATACTAACTTTGTAAAGGAAAATGGTATAAAAAATTCTGTTACCTTATTTGGTTGAATGTAATATAGAACATTTTATATTTTTAGCTTCCTCTTTCATTATTACGAACAGCACAAAATCATCCTATGGTAAATGTTATTTTTGTTTTTTAAACTTCATCTTCAAAATATATTTTAATGTTTCAGTTAGTAGAGCTTAAAAATGGAGAAACATACAATGGTCACTTGGTTAGTTGCGATAATTGGATGAATATTAACTTACGTGAAGTAATTTGTACATCAAGGGTATTTTTTGAAACAAAATATTATCTCTTAGGACTACAACATTTAATTTCAGGATGGTGATAAGTTTTGGAGGATGCCAGAGTGTTACATACGTGGTAGTACAATTAAATACCTACGAATTCCAGATGAAATTATTGATATGGTAAAAGAAGAAGCTACTATTAAAAATCGTGGCAGAGATAATAAAACTGGTAAAAATCAAAGAGGGAGACCTGCAACTAGAGGTTAGTAAATGTATAGACTAGTCCATGATGAGTTTAGGGTAAAAATATTTAGAGAATCAAGAAAATTAAGAATTTTAAGAAACTATGCAAAATTTTCTTGATTTCATTTATATTTTTAGTTTATCTGAAAACCATCATAAGATATTACATATATTTATAACATACATTGTGTAATGTTGTTTGTTTTGTAGGTAACTTTGGTAGCAGGGGTGCAAAATCTGGAAATATCGGTAAAAATCCAAATCAGAAAATGAAACTTAAACAGTAATATACATGCTTTCTGAATATGAACTATTTTGTAATAGGTTTTAGAATTTACCATTGTTTTTCATTCCTGTTTTTTTAACATAATAAATAATTATTTGAAAGTAAGTGTGATTAATATTGAAAGAATAAAAATGACAACATTAATAACACTTTATAAAATTTATTAATTTTAACAGATCAAAAATGGACGGATCATTTGTACAACTTATTTTCAATCATTACTTTATAACAAGATTACGATTAGTTCTTATAGAAAATAAAGTGATATGTATATAATATATGTACTATTTAACTAAATGGTGTTATGGTGCGTATAATTAAAAAAATTCAACAACAGTAATGTATGCATTGTTTCATGATAACAAACCATGTAAAATTGATGTTATTGTAGTATTAATATATATGATTTAAAAATTGTTGAACTACAAAAATGGCATTGAGATGAATTATAAGGCCCCCATTAAATAGGATTTACATCATATAATTACAGAAAATTTTAAAAAGTCAAAGTTACGTTAAAATTGCAGCTCAAGATGAATACTAATTAATAATTAAATACACATAGATTTATGGACTATAACAATATTTTGTATGTTACAGATTAACCTCAATATTCAAATATTTGTTGTATCAGAAAGGAAAGCATAGATAGGTAAATAATTAAAAAGATAGTAAGTACTTGCCGAGAATAAATACATAAAAGAAACTAAAAAAAAAAACAATAATACTATTTCAACTATCAACGAAATAAGTCAAAAATTAGCTGCCTGAGAATTGGTTCGATTTACAAAATCAATAGTAAGATAAAAATTTATTTTCTCCCTGATTAAAAAAAAAATACTGATCAATTTCGATTTAGAGAGTGCTAACGAGTGCGTTTGTAACTGCCTTTAAGTACGCTCTTAAGAAGTTTTAATTAACTTTAATATTTTTTTAAATATTCAAAACGAAAATTACTTAATTTATGAAACAACACAAAAGAAACATATTCACGTCGATAAAATACAAACCTTAATACTTAATTAGATACAAAAATTTAATCAAGCTTCAATTTAAAGGCTTCATAATAAAAAAGATTGCGAATTTTAGTCAAGTAAAAATCAATTAACAAACAAAACAATTAAGTACTTTTGTGGCCATAGTGTAAATGGCACTAAATTTAATTGTAAATTCATCCTATAATTTAGATCAATTAAATCCCCTATAAGAATTTAGAATGAATCAGGCGATTCTTTCTAAAGCACTACTATGAGCATCTTGATTGGGCATTGTAAAGAATGATTTAAAAGTTAGCTTACTTTCTGGTTTGCAATTTAAGTGTTTGATTACATACTGACATGGACACGTTACCGAGGGACAGTGACGGTTCCCTTGGGCTGGTGGACTCTTCAGATATCCTCTCACCATTTCCTTACCCCAACGTGAAGCATATCTTAGAAATAACAGGGTTGCCCTTTCCTAGATATTAAAAGCGGTGTATTACACAATTAAGAGGAATGTTTTACTTAAACATGAGAAAATTGAAAGAAATTTTGCAAGAATGCTATCAGAGGTATTCGTAGAATATCCCCTCAATTTTAAAATCGTTGTATCGTGGTTAAAATAAAGAGTACACCCTTTGAATAGTAATAAAAGTAACTTAAAAAAACATCCATGAACCACATGAAAGGTAATGTTTTTAAACTAGGTTTTAAAAAATTATCTGACCCTTATATTTTACTTGCAATAACAATGAAAAAAATAAAACAAACAAAAGTGCATTAAAAAAACGTTAATTAAAACAAAACGAACCATATTACATTTTTAGTCCAGTCCTGTTTTGGCCAATATTGCTGACCAACAACGGCAACAGTCTCTTAAATCAGTCCGTGGTCGTTTGTTAACTAGAAGCTCTTCAATATACTGACACGGACAAAGAGCACTATTGATATGCCGCGGATTTGAAGGATTCCCCGCAGCTTCGTCCAAAGTCCAATCTAATCGTCTTCTCAAATAATCTTTTCCCCATCTTTGTAAATAACGCAAAAATACTTGTTCCGACAGGCCCTGTTACAGTTACACATTTTAAACTTTCGACGTAGAAGAAATACAAAAGTAGGTTGCATTTAACAGGCAACAATTTTGAAACAATTTTTAAGAGTGGCTGCAGCTTTTAAAAATTGCCAAACGCACTTTTGCTTGCTTTATTAATTATTTTTACTTGTTCTTTGTGAATAAACAACTTATTAACAAATCATTTAATCCCTTCCGATTTTAATTTTTATATATCTTTTTAGTTACCTAATTGTCTTCAGGAGGAACTAAAACTAAATAAAAATAACGGTATTAAAACAATCATTTTCTAGATAATTTTAACGTAATGTTGACGATTTGTTACACCAAACGTTTCGATAGCTCTCACAGTTGCGTAAAATTAGTAACACATTGGCTAATAAGGATGTATTCTGCTACCGATTATTTTGAAAATATTATATTAACTAAAAATCGTATAACTTGATAAATTTTATACTATTTATGTTTTTGATATTATTATCAATTCAAAGATTAAATAAAATTAAACTAATGAAAGCATGTTTCTAAAGGCGACTGAAAGACTAACTTCTGAAATTATTTCAGTTTTAAGTTAATTTATTTCAAAAAGAAAGCATGGCAATTAATTCAGTCAATAATAAAATTACTTTTAAAAGACTATACATATTACATAATATTATGTATATAAAGTGGCATAAGGAAAAAGAAGAGTATCAAAAATAAAATACTATATTTTGAATGAAAAATTTAAATTAGTAAATTGCATACCACTCATTAACTTTTCATTAACTAAAAATCACAACAAAACCTCATTAAAAACAAATAAAACTCACCTGTTTTCGAGACAATCTTGTAGTCCTGCTCCCCTGTATAACAATATCATTTGCAGAAATATCCATTCTTTCTTCCCACCCTGCTGCTTCACGTTCTTGAAGTTCGATGCTTGTTTGCAAATGTTGAATGCAAGGGGCTGAATCCATGTAAATAAAGCACATATTTACTTTATGACATGATATTTTCCCTCTGTCGTCCAGTGCAAGGAGTATTTTGTGTCTAAGGAATTGTTTGTTTACGTGTGCTAGGCATCTTTCTAAATTACGAGCCAACTTAAATTTCAACCACATTGACAGAAATATAGCAGCAGCATTAAGTACAAGCCATCCAACTCCTAGACCAAATAGTGGTAAGCCTGTCAATCCAGAGAAAAGAAGACCGAGAAGAACACAAAAAGCAATCGTCAGCCACAAAAATAAGACCCGCTTATAGCAGATGTTGTATAGGCTAAATCGTACATCGTTTGTAAGCAATTCCATGGCATGTACATATTCTTCTACAGTCAACTGGAAATAAAAATTTCTATTGTACATTTACTAAACAATAATAAGAACAAGAATACACGAAATAGTGTAGATAAAAAAGTATTAGGCAGAAAAGAAAAATAAAAGCACACAACTTCAAATAAAATGTATTTTACTTACAAAAATGCAAGCGAAGAAATAATTTTTATACATTTACTTCTGAAAAAGTTGCTTTTATTATTGCAAAGATGTCTACTCAATACTTTCAAAAATTCTTTCACTTTGACCAAATAGTGTGCAATAATAAAATAAAAGGATTATTTTATTTCTTTAAATATCACTAATCTATCAGTTACTGTGAGCACGAAACTGTTAGCACCATTGCTTCGAGCGATCAAAATTCACTTGTGAACAATTCATTTAATCACCGTCTTAAAAATTGTTTGCAAAATTAAATTTAAAGGAATTGTTTGTAAATAGATATGCAACACATCGTACTATTCAGCATAAGAAATTGCTGATACTAACTTTCATTTACATAATAAAAATATTTACAATCTACACTATTCTTAATTCACAAAGTCAATTTTAGTGTAAAGTGAAGGTACAAATCTTGCATTTGAGTTTGTTTACCCAGAAGCATCACACCCCTTCTCTTATTTCACAAAATCAGATAATACAAAAAACTGTTTTAATAAATAAAAATGTTTTATGGCTGCACTAATGATAATTAATATCTGAACTAATTATGAAACTCAACTTATCCTGGGGTAAATTCACATTCCTTGTTTAGAGATCGTTTTTATAGAATAACTGGAGTATAATATTAACTTACTGTTAGTCCCTGTGCCATCAGTTCCTCTGGTACTAACTCCGGGCGAAACTGTGCTGGTGTTATCCATGGAAAACGAGTGTTTGTAGGTAAAAGAGTAACAATAACATCACCGTTAGCTGCAGATAAAAAAGTTAGTTAATTTAGATGAGACAATTACTTTTAATACTTACAGAATCCCTGTCTTATGGGCTCCACAGTAGCAACAGGTAGGTCAACAATTCTTAAAGGTTTTGGATTCAAACCAGTCGAATTACCACTCTCAGAAATAGACGAGCTTAGACTTTTATCTAAATTAACTTGTACACTTTCAGTAGAAATAACTGCTGGTTCTTTACTGTGACTACTCTCATTATCATCGAATTTAACCCAACTTTTTCTAGGTGCTGGATTGTTTGCAAGAGACGAATCCTCTTGTCCTATTTCCGATTTGTTTGCTGCTTCAACACTCATAATGAATTTAAACAATTATTAATTCGTATTTTACATAATTTCACAAAAGTGTCGACCCACTCCCTATCAGCATTGCTAAACGATTTTTAACGAGGCTAAAGTTCTTTCGTTGATGTTAATAATAATAAATTACGAATACTTATATATTATTAGCATATTAGCTATCATAAACACGTATCAGCTATCATACCTATTCATGTATACCTATACGTGCCTTAACGTAAACATATTTATGTATTAAATAAAATAATAATATGAATGTGTAAAGGTACGTAATGGTACTAATGTAAAGAATAAACCAGGATGGGGATAATAATAATAATTATAAAATAAAAAATTGAACCATTATACAACGTGTTATTATACAAAAAGGCGATTTGTGTTTTATTTGCTCCAGATGCAACAATCTTTTTTGCGATAAATGTCTCAATTAGTATGCTCACCTCCGATTTCATTGAAATTTTAATTGTCTCACGTGATACTTGGGGACGGGAACCATTCTTTTCCTTAGTTTCGGGAGTTGAAAAAAGTAAGTAAAACAACTAAACCCAACCCACAGCTAAACTAATTAATCAACAATAACGTTTTTTTTTTTTTAAGAAATACACAGTGAGTGTTACCTTTTCTTACCATAGCCTTATGATCCTAAGCAATGGGGTAAAGTTAAAACCTTACTTTTGGTTGGTTCGTTTAGTTGTAGGTTGGGTTTGGTAGTTTTACTTACTTTTTCCAATCCCCCAAAAATTTCTGGTTTCAACAATTTATATATTTTTAAAAAGTACGTGATACTGAAGATAAGCATACTAATAATTCAGACATTAACCTTTTTTTTAATCTATGTTTGCTTTCTTTATTAAATTATATGATCAGAATTTTTCCCCATCTTTTTTAATTTAATTTTTACCGTTTGATCGTAAGATTCATTTACTATTTGATTGTTTAGTCATAATATTACGGTAGAAAAAGCCATAATGCTGTACGTACCGCTTACCGTAGAAACCAGTCATTGACTGATAGCATAGATAATAGATCTACAAAGGGTAATGGACTGATAGCATACTGATAGTTTTTCAGTTTTCTTCGTGTTCTTCAATTATTGCAAGAATTATTCCGTAATTTCGTAGACAGGGAATAGACTGCGCATTCTCTATCTGGCTATGGTAAATACGGGCATGAACGTGTGAGGGACAAAGGGATCGTTCGGGAATCCGATACTACCCAGTCGTACGGACGGCTGGGTGTCTTCTGAAGATTTCCCCTCTTCCACGAAAACAAAAAAAAAAGGGATCGTGAGGCCAATAGTTGCCTCTTTCTTTGGGTTTTACAAGCTTTGCTCAGTCCATTCTCTATGTCTATGGCGTAGTTCATGTGTCTTTTTTTATTAGAACCTTTTCTGTCATTTGCTTATATATGATCCAATAAATAATACTTTCGACCTACTATATATTTCTTATCTATGATCATCTCCATTATCATTACCCTTTGTGTATCTATTATCTATGTCCATTATACATTTTTGTTGTGTACCATAGCCGAAAGGTAGAATGTTGTAAAGTTTGTTTTGATAGTGAAATAAGTAATAATTTTTATATTTAACGGTGCGAAATTTCACGATGTAACTTAATAAATTATTCAACGGGACATTGTAGTGGATATCTGTGAAAGCAAATGTTGACTTTGGATAGTATTATTCTTTTGCTGTTGCTGAAGACGTATTGTCATTTGAATGTCAGTAAATCCAGCTACAGAAATGGACGTTGATTCGCCCGTAGGACCCCTCAAAAGGTGCTCCAGTGCTCCAACAATTAACGAAAATAATTCCACAATGACTACATCCCCATCAATTAATCAAACACCCAGGTTGTAGTTATTTTGTTGGTGGATTCCATTCAACATTTTTAAAATTTTAAAATGTTTTAGCAGAGAGGCACCATCGTTTAATTTGTATGGATTTCACAACCAGCCACGGATAAGAAGATTTAGTGCAAGCTTTACACCTATATCTGGTTCTCCAGTGAGTAGACTTTGAACGGTTTATACCTTTGTTTGTCTGTAGTTATTTTGAAAATTGTGTTGATTTCAGAATTCAATAAATTTACCCCATATTTTTGTCAAAATTAGTTTTGTCATAGTCAATAAATTCAATATGAAACAAATAAAATATTAAAAACTGCATAACTAATTTTCATGGAAAGTATATGATTTAAAAGTTACTGTTAGGATACTTTTATAATAAAAATAATAAACAAATTAACCCATACAATTACCAAGAAAAAAATTGTCAAGTGTTATGTACAGATAGTTTCTACCTCCTTAGATTAAATAAAGTATGAAAATAAGTAAAAAACTTGTTAAATTTGTAGAAAATTTTTCTTTAAAATGTTCTGATACTAAATACTCACATTTAATCAGTCATGTGGTTTTTGAGATTTTTTTCAGAAACTGCATTTTTTACACAAAAAAAAATATTGTCAATGATCTTGATTGAAAAGTTTTACTTCTCATGCAAATCATGTGAACATCATTTTAATTTGTTTCCTATTGTTTCACAGAACTGTGGTTTGAGATTAACACCTCGCATTAGTCAAATACGTCAGGAGGAATATGCTGATATAAGTAATTTAAGAGAATTGGCTCATGAAAGAGAAGTTCATCACAATATGCAAATTTCTCAATCATGGGAAGATTTAAGACTGGTTACAGATTCAAATGAACAAAAAGGGACAAAAATGGGTCCTTTACATGTTAGCCTACCATGTTATGGTACAAATTGTAACTCACCATCTCCAACGAGGTTGAGTTCGCCAGGTTTCCAAAGTCCTACCAGAGGAAGTCGTACTTTCGTTCGACGAAGTGCCAGCCCTGTCCTCAGGCCTAGTCCACTTGGAGTTAAGCGAAAACTCGACGACGACACATGTCATTTAAGTCCACGTGCTAAACGATTGAATAGCTTTAGTTCTTTTGAAAGAACGGGTCTATTAACCACTACTTCTAGTCCTTTATTTGGATCGTTGAGTTCTACTGGAACACCAGAATCTGTTTCAAGTGCAGATTCTCCGAATTTTCACTTTCGTCTAATGGATAGTCCTTCACCAAATCCCTTGCCTCCACCTGAACCAATGATTCTTTCTAAAACCGATCAGAATATGACTGAAAGTCCTAGCTAAAGTGCCATATATTAGATTATTTTTTATAATATATTTATTAGTTANGGGAATGAAACATATTAAGTGTTTTTTCATGTATGCTGTTGATAGACGAAATTCGACCGTAGGGAGGACACCATACTAGCCTCCGATTGTTCGAGCACATATGTATAAAACAAATCCATAAATAGCTTATGGCGTTATAGTGAACAAATTCATCAGTCCCTTCGACATTATTATAATCAATCCATCAGTGAACAAGTTTTGTATATTTTATCTCAAGTAGCTTTAATTATTCTAGATAAATTGAAAATCGATTATGTCCTGAAAAGGTATTTGTTCCCTGATATCTTTAATCCACTGTTTTTTAAACTAATTTAAGATATAAATAATGACTATTTGCTTGTGGAATTAAAAAAATAAGTTCTGTAAACGCCTCTTTCTAAAAGACAAAATGAATTTTCACCGATAATTAGAGCAATAGATTGACACAGGCAACATTCTAAATCATTTTGAAGGGATGTAGCTGTGTATCAACGCGTTATCTACCCCTCGCTCTTATAGGTCTCGTATTTTTAATACTAATTAATACTGAGATCTATTTATTGTACCAAAAAATGCAGCAAAGATACTTGTATATTTGTTAGCTACAAACCATAGCTTATGTTATAAAAAATAGCGATAAAGTATCGTTTCAAAAGAGTATGAGACCTATATGTAGTTAGGGGTAGTTTAACTCTTAATTATCACACTGTGAATATAGAACTGAAAATAAAATAGAATTAATAAAGTATTGGTTTCATATTTTTCTTTACTATATTTGCATCTCATTTCCTGATAAGAGAAACAAGTTTGATTACTTGTAAGTAAATGTTAATGAGTTCTAAATATTTTTTTTGTTTCTGTGAATAGTAAATAGCAGTGGTTTCTACTGAATTAATTCAAACAGTTTGTAATAAGTTACCAAATGTATTTTCTTTTTTTTCCTAAAGAATACCTCTAATTTAGATTAAAAATACATTTCATAATAGCACTTCGCAGTCTACATTACAAATCTATGAACTATGCTTATGTATCTAATTGGTAAATTAACTAATCGAGTTTATTAAAAAATGATATTTAGTTGTTATATATATATATATAGTTTGTGTACATTTCGTACATTAACATTTATTGCAATGTCATTTGTAAGGTAAATTGTTTTTATTTAAAATAAACATTAAAAATCGAAGCGAACTTTTTTACATTTTTGTTAATGTACAGATTATAAACCTTACGATATTTTATAAAGCGCGCCTTTTATAAAACCACTGAAACTTTCCAATTAAACATCTATTAGTTCTTAGTGATATGGTAATGGCTACGGATGGCAACAACGGGTAGTGATTTAGCATGTTTAGCAGCACTGTCAATTATTATAACTTTACTTACGCGTCACGATCAGATTATAACTTAAATAAAAGGAAATATATGGTAACGGTATTAAAAACAAATATTTCTGCCACCATAGATACCATAATGGGGGTGTAAGACAGGAACTCGCTACAGCACAAGTTTATATGCGATGAGAAATGTCAATCAGTTTCTATGATCAGTTTGGTGCAAAGCTTGATGATCATTGTATGACGTTTATGTATGTTTTTATTTATTTGTATAGTGCAACCACGAAGTTATAAAAGTGTAAAAAAGTAAAATGGCGTCGTCCCGTAAAAAGCAAGACGAAAAGAACTTAAAAACTTTAAGAGAATTGGCTTCATTACCATATAATAAATATTGTTTCGATTGCAATCAACGAGGGCCTACATACGTTAACGTCACCATAGGTTCTTTTGTGTGTACGAAATGCTCCGGAATGTTGTAAGTATCTCCTGTTTCTATAATTTGATTAATTACAAATGCAGTAGTTTGGTTTTAATCATTTTATCACTTGGTAACAATAGTTTAAAAATGATAGTAAAAATAACTGTTTCGTACTGGATGTATTCGAAGTTTCCGGTACGATAAATGTTATCAACAGAAAAACTTCCACTTTGATCTTTATAGAAACTAAAATATTTCAAAAACAATAATTCCAAAAACTATTCTGATTTGTAGAAAAGCATGATGAGGGAAGGTATTTTATATAAATTGCTTGAGTATCTGCTGCCTATTATTTTGTTAAACAAACAATCGTAATACTGTTTACAAGATAAACACAAATAAATATAAAACTTGAATGAAGGAAGTTATTTGTTCACATATGAACATAATACATTGTCTTCAAAGAAGTAATTGTTTCAAACACCTTATAAAAAAATACTTTTTTTTACAAGTATGGTATTGTGGCACTGGTTATTATAAACATTTATTTTTTCTATGTATATTTAACTTACCTAGTTAAAAGAAGCTTAAAATTACTTTCTTTAATGCTATTATCAGATAGTAATAATGAATGAGTTGTGGATTTGAAAAATTACAATAGCAAGTTTGGAAGTTGTTTCAATTTCTAGAATCTTTCTAACGTTACTCATGTACTTTTTTATGAATTTATTTTCTGTTTAGTACTAGATACAAAAAGGCAGTTTTTACAACAAAATAAATTCATTCGTTAGTACTGTGATAAACTTGCACATCGCATTTTAATAAATAATATATACTTGAATGAATTTTAAATAGTGTGGTATTTTATTATATTTCCTACAAGTGAAAATGTAAATGTAACGAGATGTATTTTATTTTTTTGTACTTTCTGAACAAAGTGAAAATTTCATTTTTAAATAGAAAATGTGTTAATTATACAAACATTGAAAAGGGTTTATTTAATAAGTAACGACTTATTTGATTTACGTAGGAAGGGTAGTATACTATAAAACACGCAAATTATTATTCAGAACAGATGGGGGTAATTACCATGACGTTAAATTTTGTATGGTATCTTTAATGAAATATAACTAAGCAATCGATGACTCATTTAATGTCTGTTCTGATAACCGTGCGTACTCATACACTTTTATTAATACCTAGTAATAATCAAAGAAGCAAAATATAAAAAAAATTCTCGTTATTTTGTTGAATTTGCTGGATCATGCTGAAACATTAATTTTTTATACATCTGTGTGTAGTATAAATAAACTCTGCATTTTATTTAACAAAAGTCGTTTTACCATTAGATATTTGGTAATACTGAAAATTTAACTAATTAATTTATAACTAATGAAAATTGATCGGTATACAAGTTCTCGACAAAGAATATGAAAAGTACTATTAATTATTCCAATTGATGACAATATTAATATTTTTATTTTATTTACTAGGAAATTGCAGTATAATGTTCTCCAAAGACGTTAATAAATATATTATCTAAATTTATTATGTCAGATTTATTCAATTTGTAAGGTTTTTGGAACGATTGAAAATTACTTTTTTCAATACTAATTACTGCTTTTGTTCTATTTTCTTATTTAGTTTGTATGATTAATGATTGTTTCTACTAAATTTCGCAGTTAAATTTTTCATTATCTGGAGTGATTCATGTTTTAATTGTGCGCTAATGATTTGCGGTTTTTTTGGTAAAAAAGACCGTTTAAATTGTTACTATAAAACACACATCGATTATGAGAAAATGAAGGTTATATTTCGCTCCAAGCGGAAATTTACTTTGCATTTTATTTAAAAAACATTTTAAGATTATTTTAAGAATTAAAGATTATAAAATGCAATAGTAACGAAACGTAAGTAAATTTAAAATCAATCGCTGTAAAATAATAGTTTCAATAAAGCATATATAAACACAATTTTTCAGTATAAAATCATAAAGAAAGTCCCCAAATCTACTGTTCTACAGTATTTTCATTTAAACAAAAAAATGATTTCAATATCATTTTTTGTCCGCGCGATAATCATGCAGGAAAAAAGTTGCAAAATATGTTGAAAACTACAGTAACTTCCCTACGAATAGAAAGTTAATAAATGAAAAAGGAAATGATATTGTATAAAATTCATTGCAATTTTAATTTTATTCCCTCTTTAAATTTAAAATTTAATTACAGACGAGGGCTGGCTCCGCCGCACAGGGTAAAGTCGATTTCTATGGCTGCGTTTTCGCAAGAAGAAGTTGATTTTTTATGTAATCGGGGTAACGATTACTGTCGTCGAACGTGGTTAGGATTATACGAAAATAACACGCAACGAGATTTGCGGGACGAACAGGCCATCAAAGATTTCATGGTAGATAAATATGAAAAGAAACGTTACTATTTAGAACCATCCGCGGTCTCTGTTATCAAAAACACTCCCATCAATGCCGCAGCTTCGTCGTCTCAGATAGTGAACAAAACCGCTCCCGACGTGAAACCTCTAAGTAGTATTTTACCACAGGTCAAACCTCTAATGGTGAATAGAAATTCTAAACAGCAAAACATTGCGAATATGACGAGGGGTAATATTTCACGAAACGCAAGGAAAGAGACCGACGATTTCGTTGCAGATTTCGGTTCTGCCGATATTTATAACGCCGCAGGTTCAAATGTCACTGTGGACAAACGCAACAACAATTTAACAACTCAACCGTCCTTTTCTTCTTCAAACACCACCGACAATAAGAATAATTTTACTAACAGTGGTAAGAATAATTTAGATAGTCAGTTCGTTTTTCCATATAACCTGTCTCCCTCCTCTCGCTGTTAGAATCATAACGAATAAGTTAGTATCCATCCTGATTCCTTTAAATATGTTAATTCATTGAATAAATACCAGATTCACCTCTTTTTTTTTAATAGAATTATAAACAAATTACGATGGTCTGATTGTTTAACTGCTGTTTCACTGTTTCCAGTGGAAGATTTCAATTTTGCAGATTTCTCCTATTTTAACACATCTTTTAATGAAGTGCCTCAATTCCCAATGTTCAATGTCAGTAATCGGTGGAGTAAGTTCGAGTTGTTTTTGATAGTTGTGTTTCTCTTGTACATTATAATTTGCATTACAAATGTACTATTCCGTTAAGTTTGCATGTCGATAGAATATTTCTTTTTATTGAGCTTCTTATGTTAATCCAATAAACAGGACTATTACATTACTTTGCTGGTAGAAACTGCTGTTGATTTTTATTTTCGGTTTTTGACCGTTTTGTATTAATGAAAAAAAAAAATGAAATGCTCGAAACGTCAGACGTTACTTTAACGATTTATTGTTTTTACGTTTGACGAATTTTTTACTACTCTTTTCAACCTACGATCATTTTTTCGTTACTATTAATAGGTCTTCCGACTCTGAGTACTGCTAATGTTCCTATTCAAGCTCATAACATAGGGGGGCCTCCAGCTCCTTCTGAAGACCGTTATGCCGCTCTTAAAGATCTTGATAATGCTCTCAAATCACAACCCACTTTGGATTGGAATTCTTCAGGTTCTAATGGCTCTCTTTACAGTTCTTCTGCAACTCCTACTAGCTCTCTATATAGTTCGCCTTCGCCTCAGAACTCTTTGTTCGGGTCACCTCCTAGTCAAGGTAAATATTAATAAAAATACGTTACGTAATGACAAATAACATCTAATCCTGCTTTTAGGTCAGTTTCTAAATATGTTTCCTCAACAACAAAGTGTCAACAAAATGTCTAATCCATTCAATACAAATTCAATTTGGAACAGTGACGATATGCAGACAAAAACTACAAATGGCGTGGCTAATCCATTTCAAATAGAAATGCCTAAAGTCAACGGATTTACGCAGAATTTTCCAAGTCCATATATTTCCAACAACACTCAAACGTCGTGGAATGCTAATCCTTTCATGGTAATTAATTTTTGATCTATTTTAATTTCTTTTTTTAAACGTTACTGACTTAATCCTTTATTTAAACAGCTAGGCTCCATGTCGAATGGTCATTCGAATAATCCTTTTTTGTGAGTTGACCTGTTTAGTCTCAACGCACGAATTGGGCTCATGCTAAGAAATATTTTATATAGTAACGTGATCGTATATAATTATAGAACGTTAAATAATCTGTTTTATTTATTTATTGTTTTTCGATATTTAGTTTAATAATTTTTGTTCTTTTTCTCGTGTAAAACACCAAAATGTTTATTTTTTATAAATGCGTTTCTTTTACTGTTAAAACGAACAACAAACGCTGCAATATCGAGCTTGAATATTATACTTATTGAAGACAATGTACTTTTGCCTAACAAGGGAAAAATAATGATCTTTAGCAAATAGGTCAAATAATAGTATTTTGTATGAGTGTACACGACATGCTGGGGTCGAGGTTTCGCTAATCTAAAACATTTAATCAGTGCCTTACTTTTTTATTTGCTATAATTAATAGATTGAAATTAACTTTTTACAAACGGCCTGAATTTTGTGAGATCGTAGTATTTAAACGCGTGGATAATACTACATTCGTTAAACTTAATTAATTTCATCGTTAGTGTGTTGTAAATACAGTATAAACTCTGTACAGCGAAATGTAAAACACTGAACATTACGTTACTGAGAGTTCATCATATGCGGAGTAGAAAAAGTAATATACATAAAACATACGTTTAGGAGTACAAGTATACTACTTTAGGGATAGAAGAAAAATAAAAATAGAAATATTTAAATATTTTATGGCGGCCAAACTACTAACAAATGAAAGAACGAATTTGGAACAATGACGACAGTCGAGATAAACATAAGCTAGGTAATAAAATCGCTTGATGGAATTGTGCTGCAATTCTTATCAATTTCGGCAACTTAGTGTTTTCAAAGAAATAATAATTGTTTATTTTCTTTAAATAATGATGTTTTGTTTCATTATTGAGAGTGGGTGCTACACTACTTGGAGTGAATGAATGTATGGGTAATAAGATTAAATAATTTCTTCGTTAAATAGGAATTTGTTATATGGAGTTTACACTGTATTATGGTCTGGTTTAAAAAAACGTTTTTTGTTGTGTGCCATAAAATCGTAACTTTAAATATCACGTCCATCGAAAGGCCTAGACCCTAGAAGAATTCAGAAAATGCTAAAAATTACTACTTGTCTTAGGTAGAACATTTTAGCAATTCACAAAAATGTTTTTTGTTCCTTGTAGTTTTCGACAATTTGCTGTTATTAAAAAAATCGTGATTTATGGAGAAATGAATTTAGACGTGTGCATTTTTTTGAAAAATCTAAAATCATCATAAAAATATAATCAAAATAATTAATATTCATTTTCAACTCTACAAATTGTATACCAATAAAATAATAAAATTAGTTTAAATTTCACTTTTAGAATTAATTTGATTTAAACTTTTTTTTAAGATAAGATGTTTTAGATTTTCAATATGCACACACACTAAAAGTTATATAAATTTAAGAATATTCTGTGATAACATTTGATAACACAGAAAGCATAATGCTTGTACTGCTTTCGAAAAAGTTTAGAATTAAAAATTATTGTTATGCTTAATGACAAAAAAAGAGAGGACAAAAAGCTAATATATGAATATATTTTCTTGCAGAAAAACATACCTAAACAATTACTTTTAACTTTCAAAAAGAATGATTTTTTGTCCACAAGCAGTTATTTGAACAGCTGTATATGTATTTATTCCAACAGCACAACATGTACAATTATATATATAAAACTAATATGTACATAAATAAACTGTGAAAAATGACATCACTTGCCTTTTTTTACAATTTTAATCTCCTGATTTCATCTATTTTAAAGTCGATTCTATAAAAAAAAAAACAATTAACTGCCGGTTTACGAAGAAATAAATGAGGGTATTGAAATTAAAATGATAATTGAGAAGACAATTTCTACAGTATGTATTAAATCACTGATTGCATTATTTGTAGTAAAAAAAATCGAAAATCATAAAGAAATAATGCCTTTTAAATGTGTACGTGTATTTTATATATTTTTTTAATGAAAGCTGTTCGTATTTAATTAAGATACTAATTGATATAGTCCGGTCTACTGTAAACATTACATAATGGAAACGCCGTATATTATGACTAACATATTAATTATGCTAGACCGCCGTAAACCGCGAACAAATTAAACGTTAGATTATACATAGAAACTAATGCCTACTAGGCCTAAAATTTCAACATTGCTTTTGCGCTATTGTTGTAAATCTCCGACATATTTAATACTTGCCAAACCGTATTAGCTACAGAAATATTTTATTCCTTAACACACTTTAGATAGGTGCACAATTCGTTGTTAGCGATTGTGCAATTTTTGTATATATCAGACTGTTATAAATTTCTTTCATAAACGTGAAAATTTGTATTAATATTATAAACTTGATGGCAAATTTATCCAAAATATAAATCAAATTAACGATATGAGTGTGATTTTTGATAATAAATTAACATTTAAAGATCATCTGGAATATGTACGAAATAATAAAATGTTGCAAATAAGTCTTAATTTTGTATTGCATAAATCGATGAATTTCAAGAATGTAGATAATTCCCGTAGCTTATATAATTCTTATGTAAAATCAAAAAAGGTTGGTATACACCAATTGTTTGGTGTTCTAGTACTGCTGTACTTTTGAGAAAATTTAAAAAAATGTAATATAAGTTTGTGCAGTTGTATCACGGTGCATGAAGAAATCATTGCAAGGTATATAATTAAAATGAGTTGTTTTTTGACCTAAAATTTCTATCTTTACGATCTTACCGCATATACTATATAAGTTGATAAAGAAAAAGTAGTGCTTCATCAAATTTCATATTAGACCAATGGTTGTAATACCCATAGTTATTATTATTATTAGCTCATATATGAATAAGAGCATACAAATTGTGAAATCGATATACTAGAATTAGGTAAAATGAGATATAATGGTAACTTAGTTGAATTTAAAAGGACTTTGAATGCTTATAAGTTTTTGAGTCCGTTGATTCATTAAATAAATAAGTAAAAAAGACCGAAAACCGTTAATCATTAATAAAAATTAAAGCAGACTTTTTAAAAGTAGTCAAGTACCTTAAAGACATTATACTCCTCAGTTCGGTCGGAGTTAATCTCCAAGTCAAAGAACTTTCGTTACCCCAATAGTCAGATATTTCGGAAACCTTCTCCAAGTTTAGTACTGTAGCTATTTGCGTTAGCCTTGCAAACTTGTCTCTTATTGACCAGGACGTAGTAGTCGTAAGGTAAGCGGCCAAAGATCTAATCTCTTTGTCTAATATCAAACCCCCTAACTAAAAAAGAAATATTGTTTTAAAATTAAGGACATAATCTAGCAAGTGAAATATATTTGTAATTCCCTCCCATAATACTCAATTCCTGTCCTATTATTATAACGTCATATACAAATAAGCATATGTAGTTGGTTTGATAAGTGGCAGGACTGTCGACAATTTTAAAAATTTGGTACATTTCACTTTGCCAAAGTGTTAGCAACATTGTTTTTATTGCATGGAATTTTTCGTCTACAAGGCAACATTTATGGGAAACGTTACTTTTGCTTTCATTTGAAAAAAAATCTGCTGCTGAAACTAACCGTTTACTCGTCAAAGATTACGGTGAGTATGCTCTCTCTGAAAACTCGTGCAAAGAATGGCTCAGGAGCATAAAAATTGGTGATTTCACCCACATCTAATGTCGGTATTATCAACCTGAGACTGATTTTAATATGATAAAATTTAATAATTTATACTACCTGACTGAAAGATGAAGATGAAAAAAAGATAGTGGAAAATAAGAATGATTAGATTAAAACTTGAATATGTTCAATGTCATCACTAGCAAGTCTAAAACGTGAATCGGCTTTAACCATCACAAATCTAACAAAAGAAAACAGGAAAAAAAAGTTCAATAACCGCAGCTACGACGGCCTATAGGGCCAAAATCTATTAGACATGTTTCATGAATCGAATAGGGAGAAAAGTTTTAAAAATATGGAAAAGGAACAACTGCCATTTTCAGATGTTTTACCCATTAAAAATATTTAATAAATTAGGATTTGACGTTTTCAGAAAGGAAATTAACACTAACAAGCATTAAACACTGGTGGGAATGAAACATATTAAGTGTTTTTTCATGTATGCTGTTGATAGACGAAATTCGACCGTAGGGAGGACACCATACTAGCCTCCGATTGTTCGAGCACATATGTATAAAACAAATCCATAAATAGCTTATGGCGTTATAGTGAACAAATTCATCAGTCCCTTCGACATTATTATAATCAATCATTATAATCACTGCGAAATTAATTAATATAATAATTTATATTTTATTGAATTTGTATTATTATCATATAGAATGATTTTTTGTCCACAAGCAGTTATTTGAACAGCTGTATATGTATTTATTCCAACAGCACAACATGTACAATTATATATATAAAACTAATATGTACATAAATAAACTGTGAAAAATGACATCACTTGCCTTTTTTTACAATTTTAATCTCCTGATTTCATCTATTTTAAAGTCGATTCTATAAAAAAAAAAACAATTAACTGCCGGTTTACGAAGAAATAAATGAGGGTATTGAAATTAAAATGATAATTGAGAAGACAATTTCTACAGTATGTATTAAATCACTGATTGCATTATTTGTAGTAAAAAAAATCGAAAATCATAAAGAAATAATGCCTTTTAAATGTGTACGTGTATTTTATATATTTTTTTAATGAAAGCTGTTCGTATTTAATTAAGATACTAATTGATATAGTCCGGTCTACTGTAAACATTACATAATGGAAACGCCGTATATTATGACTAACATATTAATTATGCTAGACCGCCGTAAACCGCGAACAAATTAAACGTTAGATTATACATAGAAACTAATGCCTACTAGGCCTAAAATTTCAACATTGCTTTTGCGCTATTGTTGTAAATCTCCGACATATTTAATACTTGCCAAACCGTATTAGCTACAGAAATATTTTATTCCTTAACACACTTTAGATAGGTGCACAATTCGTTGTTAGCGATTGTGCAATTTTTGTATATATCAGACTGTTATAAATTTCTTTCATAAACGTGAAAATTTGTATTAATATTATAAACTTGATGGCAAATTTATCCAAAATATAAATCAAATTAACGATATGAGTGTGATTTTTGATAATAAATTAACATTTAAAGATCATCTGGAATATGTACGAAATAATAAAATGTTGCAAATAAGTCTTAATTTTGTATTGCATAAATCGATGAATTTCAAGAATGTAGATAATTCCCGTAGCTTATATAATTCTTATGTAAAATCAAAAAAGGTTGGTATACACCAATTGTTTGGTGTTCTAGTACTGCTGTACTTTTGAGAAAATTTAAAAAAATGTAATATAAGTTTGTGCAGTTGTATCACGGTGCATGAAGAAATCATTGCAAGGTATATAATTAAAATGAGTTGTTTTTTGACCTAAAATTTCTATCTTTACGATCTTACCGCATATACTATATAAGTTGATAAAGAAAAAGTAGTGCTTCATCAAATTTCATATTAGACCAATGGTTGTAATACCCATAGTTATTATTATTATTAGCTCATATATGAATAAGAGCATACAAATTGTGAAATCGATATACTAGAATTAGGTAAAATGAGATATAATGGTAACTTAGTTGAATTTAAAAGGACTTTGAATGCTTATAAGTTTTTGAGTCCGTTGATTCATTAAATAAATAAGTAAAAAAGACCGAAAACCGTTAATCATTAATAAAAATTAAAGCAGACTTTTTAAAAGTAGTCAAGTACCTTAAAGACATTATACTCCTCAGTTCGGTCGGAGTTAATCTCCAAGTCAAAGAACTTTCGTTACCCCAATAGTCAGATATTTCGGAAACCTTCTCCAAGTTTAGTACTGTAGCTATTTGCGTTAGCCTTGCAAACTTGTCTCTTATTGACCAGGACGTAGTAGTCGTAAGGTAAGCGGCCAAAGATCTAATCTCTTTGTCTAATATCAAACCCCCTAACTAAAAAAGAAATATTGTTTTAAAATTAAGGACATAATCTAGCAAGTGAAATATATTTGTAATTCCCTCCCATAATACTCAATTCCTGTCCTATTATTATAACGTCATATACAAATAAGCATATGTAGTTGGTTTGATAAGTGGCAGGACTGTCGACAATTTTAAAAATTTGGTACATTTCACTTTGCCAAAGTGTTAGCAACATTGTTTTTATTGCATGGAATTTTTCGTCTACAAGGCAACATTTATGGGAAACGTTACTTTTGCTTTCATTTGAAAAAAAATCTGCTGCTGAAACTAACCGTTTACTCGTCAAAGATTACGGTGAGTATGCTCTCTCTGAAANTTAAAAAAATGTAATATAAGTTTGTGCAGTTGTATCACGGTGCATGAAGAAATCATTGCAAGGTATATAATTAAAATGAGTTGTTTTTTGACCTAAAATTTCTATCTTTACGATCTTACCGCATATACTATATAAGTTGATAAAGAAAAAGTAGTGCTTCATCAAATTTCATATTAGACCAATGGTTGTAATACCCATAGTTATTATTATTATTAGCTCATATATGAATAAGAGCATACAAATTGTGAAATCGATATACTAGAATTAGGTAAAATGAGATATAATGGTAACTTAGTTGAATTTAAAAGGACTTTGAATGCTTATAAGTTTTTGAGTCCGTTGATTCATTAAATAAATAAGTAAAAAAGACCGAAAACCGTTAATCATTAATAAAAATTAAAGCAGACTTTTTAAAAGTAGTCAAGTACCTTAAAGACATTATACTCCTCAGTTCGGTCGGAGTTAATCTCCAAGTCAAAGAACTTTCGTTACCCCAATAGTCAGATATTTCGGAAACCTTCTCCAAGTTTAGTACTGTAGCTATTTGCGTTAGCCTTGCAAACTTGTCTCTTATTGACCAGGACGTAGTAGTCGTAAGGTAAGCGGCCAAAGATCTAATCTCTTTGTCTAATATCAAACCCCCTAACTAAAAAAGAAATATTGTTTTAAAATTAAGGACATAATCTAGCAAGTGAAATATATTTGTAATTCCCTCCCATAATACTCAATTCCTGTCCTATTATTATAACGTCATATACAAATAAGCATATGTAGTTGGTTTGATAAGTGGCAGGACTGTCGACAATTTTAAAAATTTGGTACATTTCACTTTGCCAAAGTGTTAGCAACATTGTTTTTATTGCATGGAATTTTTCGTCTACAAGGCAACATTTATGGGAAACGTTACTTTTGCTTTCATTTGAAAAAAAATCTGCTGCTGAAACTAACCGTTTACTCGTCAAAGATTACGGTGAGTATGCTCTCTCTGAAAACTCGTGCAAAGAATGGCTCAGGAGCATAAAAATTGGTGATTTCACCCACATCTAATGTCGGTATTATCAACCTGAGACTGATTTTAATATGATAAAATTTAATAATTTATACTACCTGACTGAAAGATGAAGATGAAAAAAAGATAGTGGAAAATAAGAATGATTAGATTAAAACTTGAATATGTTCAATGTCATCACTAGCAAGTCTAAAACGTGAATCGGCTTTAACCATCACAAATCTAACAAAAGAAAACAGGAAAAAAAAGTTCAATAACCGCAGCTACGACGGCCTATAGGGCCAAAATCTATTAGACATGTTTCATGAATCGAATAGGGAGAAAAGTTTTAAAAATATGGAAAAGGAACAACTGCCATTTTCAGATGTTTTACCCATTAAAAATATTTAATAAATTAGGATTTGACGTTTTCAGAAAGGAAATTAACACTAACAAGCATTAAACACTGGTGGGAATGAAACATATTAAGTGTTTTTTCATGTATGCTGTTGATAGACGAAATTCGACCGTAGGGAGGACACCATACTAGCCTCCGATTGTTCGAGCACATATGTATAAAACAAATCCATAAATAGCTTATGGCGTTATAGTGAACAAATTCATCAGTCCCTTCGACATTATTATAATCAATCATTATAATCACTGCGAAATTAATTAATATAATAATTTATATTTTATTCACACACACTAAAAGTTATATAAATTTAAGAATATTCTGTGATAACATTTGATAACACAGAAAGCATANTTCAAATTCGTAAGTTGTATTACCTTGTGTAACGGAATAAATGAATAATAATAATAATAATACTAAAACAATTATTTACTTGACTTACTCTGTTAAAAGTTGTTTTAAGAATCACTTTTTCAAGTCTCGAAGAGACTTCGGCGGCCACAACACCTACAAGAACGTCATAATTAGACGATGTCAGACTTTCTTTGAAAGTAAATAGTAGAGAGTTTAAATTTGATATCAGGGTATTCATAAAAGTGTCTCCTGCTTCATATTCCGAAAGCTCATCCTGAAAATGTACAGTTTCAATAAGTTTGGAACATCTGCATACAATAATTATATTTTAGTAGTATCCAAGAAAATATTTATTCAAAACTTACTTCAGTTAATTGATGATTGATATTTAAAAATGCATCAACCCAAGGACTTATTCGGGGTTTGATAGCGCTCACTCGAAGCTGTTGCATCCCATACTCGACAATTTCTCGCAAATTTGTGATTACAGATGACAAACCTGACAAGCAGCTTTCCAATTTTCCCTTTTCATTTGACGTAATATTTGGCAAAGCTTGGCCTACATCACTGAGAGTTGTATCACAAAGAGTTTCAACATATTCTATACTAACACTTGTGTTATTTAACGCCACCTGTCGAACAAACGTTTGTGAGAAACTTACCAACTAATACAATATTTTATTATATTTACAAACTTTACAATTTAGTTTCCTCAGTTTACTTATTAAAAAACGTATATACCACAAAAGCGGTTCTGGCTTGTTCCGTGTCCCCAGACTGCAAACGACCCTGTTGCAACGACGTCTGTAATACATTATAAGCTTGCGTAAGATCCAAGTATCCCGTTGGATAGCCTTGTCTTAATCTATTACGTAACACGCCGCAAAAATCATTTTCCAGAACCCCACAGGCATTATTCACTACTGCACAGATTCCATCCAAGCTGCCAGTAGCTGTTGCTCGCCTGCATTAGCAAAGCAGTTAGAATGTAAATTAACATCCTTATATACCTACCTTATACATTTCCGAATAATAAAGAATGTATCATCCACCATACTGGAGGTATTTTGTCCAGGTTCAAGTGTGTCCATATTTACAGCCTTATTAATTGATTCTTCCATAAAATAGTGTTCTAACTGAAGATACTTAGAAAGCAAATCAATTTTAGTTTGATTCAAATCACTTGTGCTGATAACCATGTCCAATTTATACAATTTTTGTACTTGTTCTTCTTTATTAGGATAGCCAATTTCAATATCCATCTAAAAACAAGAATAGTTCCACTTCTCTTCCTGTTTGATCAGGAAGGAATTATACTTACTGTTACTTTACGCCTGACAAACTTGAAATAAAGTTCTGCCCTGGAATGCATTATTGTAACTTCATGAATTAATAAATCCAAATCTTTTGGATCAATTTTTTCAAGTTTACTAAAGCTGGAACTGTTGCTCATTTTGTTTATTTCAGAGATCTGATTGAGTCGTCTAGTTAACTGGCGGTGCTTATTAAACTCTAAAAGGATTAATTTTGTCTGTTTATCACATTCCTGTTGCAAAATAGAAAGAGCAGATAAAAGATGTCCTGGGCCATAATAAGTTTCAATAAGTGGATGATGAATATCAACAATGCGTGCAATTCCTTCAAATAGTAGCGTCATAGTGTCTGCATATACAATATTAAAACGTTTGTCAGCTACAGTTGTGTTCAGAGCAGTTTTGAGGTTCTTTTGAGAAGTAACTTCAAGCTTAAAAAGAATTATTAACATTCAAAGTAAAATCATAACACCAAAAATTACCTTCATACAAAGATAATTGCAGAATTTTGTAATGCCCTCTTCATGCATCCCCAAAAGTGGAAATATCTTAAAAAATCTCTCAACTGAACCCAAATCTTCATTATGAACTGCCTCATCAAACTTGTGCTTAATAATTGTCCTTAATTGACTAGCAGCATCTTGCAATGTCTGTACAGCTTTTCTAACACTTGACAAATTTTCAGCCTCACTAGCGGTGCGTTGCAGTAAAGACTGATCTATTAATAAAAATCTATGAACATGCCCTGCACCTTCTTCATAGTCTTCATTTATTATTGCGGTTTGTACACCTTGCGAACTCAACTCTATATCAACCAAATCACTCACTCTTTTTTGACACTCGTCCACTCGACACTAGGCATAAAAATTATTTATGTTAAACTGAAAATGAGGAATAATAAAACTTACCCTTGCAATTTCCAGGGGCTTAACTTTCTCATTAATTTTTTCAGATAATTCTGACAAGTCAGAAATTGTTGAAATTAATTCTTGCGCTTCATTTCGAATGGTCTTTAGAACAGGTATAACTTTAGAGAGGCTCTTAATTTTACCATCAATGTATTCAGTTTGCAATGTCAAATGTTGCAGCTCCTTTACAAATTCTTCCTAAATGATTGATAAATTATTTAATGTAATAACATATAAACTATAAATACTACATCTTTTAGTTTAAGTCTATCCAGTTCCTTTTGTAATTCGTTCTGCTTTTCAAAAAGTGCCTTATCAATTTTACTTTTATCAAACGACATGATTATATTCACTACTGGAATTAATCATACATCATTTGCAGTAATGCCACGGTAAATAATTCTAAACGATAAATTTAAAAAAAACAAACATATTTAACTTGCACAAAACCATCACTTAACCTATATTGACCAATATTTTTGATCATGGAATGATCATAGACAAGGGCATAGATAAGCTGTCTGTTTTATATATCTATGGACAAGGGAGTAGATCATTAATTGACCTACTACATATTTCTTATCTATGTAATAGATTTTCTATTATCACCATTTTCTATTTTATTTATAATCTGTCACACATTCTACCATTATTTAGTTGAACAACAACATAAATAAAAAAATGTTATATTTTATGAGTAGTGGTTAGTAGTCTTTATTAAAATGAATGATATTATTTGCCGTGCTATTTCTTGTGACGTAATATGACGTCACTCATATTTATGAAAAACAATTTACAAAAAGTATATGTTGTGACAAACTGTATGTATCTTTTCTACTTTAAAAAGCGGTATTCAATATACGTATGTATAATATTGAACTTAAATACCAATAAAACGTGGTTTTATTACGTAAAATGCCAGAAATCACATGCACTTTTCATTTTTAACCAGCGGAACGATTACATAATTACGCAAAGTACATGTGTTCATAAAATTGTAAACGTCGGTAATATCGCAAAAACATTTTACACAATCTACATTTCATCTATTTAGTTAGCAAATGTATAATAGTAAACATTGACCGTTATCTTAACGTTCCCTTTGTTTATCTCATTGAAATAAGCAATTAATAATTGGTTCCAATTAAATGCTCCGCACATGTGATTAAATAGCAGTTACTCATTATACACAACTCTGTTTCGTTAAAGATTATTAATTAACATACATATATTAATATTAAAATACCTACTAGAAAAATCAATATTCTTGTGTTTGAAAATGGCAGAATCACCTCGAGTGCTCTCCATTCAAAGCCATGTGGTCTTCGGATATGTGGGAAATAAAAGTGCAACTTTCCCTCTACAGGTGAGCATTATTACAGATCGGCATAAAAACAATTTAAAACAAAACTGGTTGCCTAATAGTGTACTTAAGTGGAATTTAATGTTTAAAAATGGCTTTCTCTATAGTACTTATTTAAATTGCTCAATCACTATTTTAAATTCTGCAATTCCCCTAAAAAGCATTCGAAATTATATGTATCACTCTGTATAGCTATTATTGTGATCTGGAGGGCATTTCTTTTGATGTGTAACACCGAAAATGTCCTTCAATACCATTTATTCCTTTGATAAACAAATAAATAAAATTAATTCACGGCATTTTTCTACCTTTCTAATTTTTAGTATTCCCATCTTTTTAAATATTTTGCTTAAGTATTTTACTATTTCTATTATTTATTCATAAAAATAAATTTTTATAGATCCTGCCTCTCAGAACGCTCAGGCTAAACGATTTTCATGTTTTTAATAATTCATACCCTTATTATACTACTAATTATACCAAATAAGTATCCAAAAATATTCTATTTTTTAAAAAACTGCGTGACCGAACTTCGAAAGCAACGAAAATTACTTAGACCGCTTAAAAAGACAGTTACGTTTACGTACGACAAAAAGAAAAAAGTGAGCACCTATAGAGATAAGGTCATTTCGTTGTCTGTTTCTGTCCATCAAAATTTATAAGGCACTCTAAGTAAGTTGAACTGCAACCCCCAAATCTGGACTAAAGTATAATTTTATATTTTATTTCCTTTTTTGAAATTCTTTTATTATCGTGTTGACAAGTACCTAACGCACTCGACTAATTTATCATAATACAATAGAATTACAAAAAAAAATACGGCCTTTTTAAAGATCATAATTTAATCTTGGGTAAAAATAATATTTTTGCCAATTTTATTTTATTAAGCTATTGTTCATTCTATTTTAAGACTTGAAAAAATTAAAGATTGTAATAAGTTGCGATAAGTTTTGTAATAATCGTAAGGTATGAAAATTAATCAAAAACAAACTATTTTTTGTTGTTAATTCCTTGGACTAATTTGTTCACTACTTTTGTTTTAGAACCACCCATACACTAACATAAATAAACCTTATGGTAAAAGTAGACTTTCGTTAAAGAACAAATTAAAAAAAATTGTATTAGTGGTAATTTGGATATTTCTTCTTTTCTGTCACAAATTCATCATAAGTACCGATTATTAGTAGAAATTCCAATAGCGAATTTGGTCAAACGATCTTTTGCCCATTACATTTACATAAATGACAACAACTTTTAAAGGTCGCAATAGTAACTGAAGTTTCAAATTATATTTGTAAAAAATACCTAATAATTTTCGACTTACTTTTTTTTTACTATGTAAGGTCTTAGGTTTTGACGTAGATCCATTGAATTCGGTCCAGTTTTCAAACCATACAGGATATGCCACGGTCAAAGGACAAGCGTTGACGGAAAAGGAACTAGGGGACTTGGTGGACGGTTTGGTGGCCAACAAACTGGACTACTACACTCACTTACTCACTGGTTATATCGCCACATCTTCATTTCTTTTAAAAATTGCGGATTTGGTGAAGCATTTGAAACGGGTCAATCCAAATCTAATTTACGGTAAAAAAGAGATAACAATCAATTTAAAAATAGGATGGGACAAGGAACGATAACGGAATAAATAGAAATTAGAAATTAATTGCTTAATTGAAGATTAGAAGGGATTTGTTGCTAATTAATATTCTTTGGAGGAAACTAAAAAGTAATTTGTATTTCAAAACATTTCTTTTTACTTTCCATTGAAATAAAAATGATGAATTTAACTGTAACCAGTACAGCAAAAATTTAATATGCTTAAAAATTATTTAATATCTTCTCTTTCATATTATGTAGTTTGTGACCCAGTTTTGGGAGATAATGGAAAGCTCTATGTCCCGGAAGAGCTAGTTCCTCTTTATAAAAATGTCATCACTCCTCTGGCTGATATTTTAACACCAAATCAGTTCGAAGCAGAGTTGCTAACTGAAAGAAAAATTTACAATCTTGATGATGCCCAACAAGCCATAGAGGTGTTACATAAAATGGGACCTAAAACTGTAGTTTTGTCTTCCACAGATTTGGGGAATGAAAAAATTTTACTAGGAATAGCTAGCACTAAACTAGGTATTTATTTAATCACCAATATAGCAGCATTAAAATAATGATATTTTTAAGAGTTAGACATTTAAAATGGGAAAGCGTTGTACTGTTCAGGTTACCAGTTAGCATTAATAGAACAACTGGTCAACAGCTGTAACTTCTCTCTCTCTCTCTCTCTCTCTCTCTTTCTGTCTCTCTCTCTCTCTCTCTCCCCCCTCCCTCCCTTCCCCTCCCACCCCATCTTGCTCGTTTTATGCCTTTGTATGGAAATAATTTTAGGAAACTTAAAGAGAAAAAGAAACAAGACAAAACTATCAACTGGTTGATCTGATAACTTGATCTTAAACAGCACGACAATTACCAGGCAGTTTAGGTTGTGAAATGATTATTTTGCTTGTTATCAATACCAGTAGTTACATATTATTGGCGACTATTTGTTAGATTCGCTTTCTTTTTGATTCTCTAAAATTGAGATTAATTCCACAATGTTTATTTAGCTCCAGTTCCACCTTAAATGCAGTTTACAAAAAACATTCAAAATATTACTCTTTCAAAGATTTAAGTTTTGTGGAATTAAATATATTTAACTTAAAAATAAATACTTACATTATTTGTCTCAAATAACATTTACTCTTGTAGAGGGAGTTAATGAAGAATTCATTATCGATATACCAAAAATTCCGGCAATGTTTACTGGTACAGGGGACCTTTTTGCAGCCTTGTTTTTGGCGTGGATGCATAAGAGCAAGTATTCGTTGAAGGATTCCCTGGAAAAGACCGTCGCTACAATGCAGGCTGTCCTGAAAAAAACATTTAGCAGTGTACAAGGTAAAACGGAAATTAACGAGAATCATACCAGTTATTTTATATTAATTCCCACTTGTCCTGCGTATTCAACAATACATGTTTGCACGTCCAATTGTAGTTCTGGAAAAAATAGTAATTTATTATTTATAAATAATTACTGTAGCACTATAAACAAATAAGTACTTCAAATGGCTTTTCATAATGGCGACAAATCCTTATTTTAATAGAAAATATATTTGTAATTTAAACAAGCCGTGTTATTTTATATTTGTTTTTACAAAAAATTTTTACTCTTCTGTGCCTTATTATAAACATATATTCAGTATTAATTTNAAAAACAACAAACAAGCAATGCCTATCGTTCCCACGATTTTGAAGACTATGTAACTATTTTTTATAGTACAAGGTTTCAAAATAAGCTTTACACAATTTAAAAAAAAAAATGCAAGTGAGTTCTTTTCAATTTCTTTGAGTTTTGATATCCACAAAATTTAAGATCATAGCCTTCATTAAAACACGATAAACCTAAAAGTTCTCTGAACTTTTAGATGATTGGGTACGTTTTAAATTATGTGGTTTCTTAATGTACTTACATACAAATAATGAATATGTTAATCAGTAAAAAGTTCAGAATAAAATTTTCATTGCCGTTGTTTTAATGCTAAATAAAAGAGAAATATAAAGATCAAATTCTTAAATGTTGAACATAACATTCATCAAAGACAATGGTTTTATTTTAAAACCAAGAAGCAAAAGAATCTTTTGTTTTCAAGGAAAATTTTTACAATTTTACTATTGAAACTACCTGTTATTTAATTAGGAAAAGAAAATTGACCAGGACTTGAACAATAAACACTGATACACTTTATATAATCTTTATTTGGATAAAACTAATTAGAATACAAAAATATGATCTTTTACTTCATAAATTACTGAAAAGCCATCATAGTACTTCCCTTCTATGAATAATAATGCGTTTTACAGAAGAACATACTAATTATTATTAACTTAAATTTCAATATCCGGAAGTGATTATTGAAAAGTGATGGCATTTACGTCGGGAATAAAATAATTTATAGTAACGGTAAAATTATTATATATTCAATAAGAACAAAATAAGGTTGATTTACAAGGATCAGAAAAATATCGCATTTACTTAAAAAAAGGTCGTAATTAAACGAACCAATTTTAAGAATAGTAGGAACGTTTGTATTCATAACAGAACAGATAATTTTCAATTAAAACACATCTTTTATCCCAAAAATGAACAAGATTGTAAATAGTATGTTCTTTAGCTAACACAAATTTGCATTAAAAGCAAAACGATCAATTAAAAATTATAGTAAACATGCTATTTAAACTGACTGTTAAATAGTTGAAAACAGCCTTTCTCACATTTGAATGTTTATATTTCCCAAAAAAAAAAAAAACAGAAAGATCTTTCTTAAAAACCAATTTACAGACAAATGTGGACGTTGATTACAGAAAAAAAAATTAAAAAGAAAAACGAAACATCAGAACACTTATTTGAACAATAGTAGTTTTAAGACGCAACCCTGTAAAATAAAACATCTTTTTCAATTTTGGCAGATTATAAAATATACACCATATTCTGTCACATTCCTGTAGAATTCGTGTAATGATTTAGAAAAAAGAATGGTTCACTTCAATTAATACAATTTTTTCTTATATTCACAAGTCAATATGAAAATTCCGGTAAAAACTCCGTAATTTCTAATTTTAAAGATTTTGATTTGGCTACCAACAAACGGCTAAATAAATTAAAGAATTGATGCATGCATGGATTTTATTTCAATTTTTATTAATATCAATCACTAAAAAATCACTTTTCACCTTTAATACGAAACTTCTTGAAATATGCATTTCAGTCAAAAATATTCCGATCGTGTTAAATCAAAAAACCAGTTGTAAATACAGAATTAGGTGTATTGTTATTTAGACGTAGGTATAATAAGAATTTCTAAAAAACAGTTTTTCATTCGGCCATTATCTTGCACTATTTTTGTCTTTAAATAATTGGAGTAGCAGAAAACTATTCAGGAATGCTAGTTCCAGAATTACATTAAAGAACCGATGACTAACACTAGCCTTCAAAAATAATACCACAAAAACCAACTGTTTCAAGCCGCTCAGCTTAGTGTAATATTAAAAAAATAATCTCTCCAAAACTAAAATTAAAATGCCTCTTACCAGTCAACGATCGCCAGTTCTATTTTCACTACTAATGTTCAAAACGTGTACTATAATGTATGTGAAGACTTTTTATCTGTTTGCTGATACTTACACTTACTACAACTATTAAATTTTTACTGTGTCAGTGGGCTGTCAGTTCCACTGCCACTGTTAGCATTCTCACGGGTAGCTGCCAATCGCTCCTTCTTTGTTATCTTTGATAGACTAGCGATTTCCTTCAGCAACGTCTGGATTTTGATACTTAACGTATCGCATTTGTCGTCGTGCTCTTTCTGAGCAGTTTTCATTTTATTTCTTAATTCAGTTTCGATTGTGAAATGTTTGGCTTTAAGTTCTGTTATCTAAAACATTTAACAACAGTTTTTAATTTTAATTAAACATACTAGGATAGCAATCAATATGAATTTGTGATAACGATAGTTAGCCGCTTTTGAAACCAACACTGTTTTCAGAAACGCCTAGCGATTTATTAGAATTGACTGCAACATGTACAAGGGTGTTACACATGACCTGATTGACTACGATTGGTGGGTTTATGAATTAATGTGCCGAAATAATAATGGGGGGGGGGATACTACAACATAAATTAGCATAGCAAGAAAGGAGGGTGGATCATAAATTTAAAAATGCGTGACGTACTTATAAACGACTCTCTCTCATAAGAAAAACAACAAACAAGCAATGCCTATCGTTCCCACGATTTTGAAGACTATGTAACTATTTTTTATAGTACAAGGTTTCAAAATAAGCTTTACACAATTTAAAAAAAAAAATGCAAGTGAGTTCTTTTCAATTTCTTTGAGTTTTGATATCCACAAAATTTAAGATCATAGCCTTCATTAAAACACGATAAACCTAAAAGTTCTCTGAACTTTTAGATGATTGGGTACGTTTTAAATTATGTGGTTTCTTAATGTACTTACATACAAATAATGAATATGTTAATCAGTAAAAAGTTCAGAATAAAATTTTCATTGCCGTTGTTTTAATGCTAAATAAAAGAGAAATATAAAGATCAAATTCTTAAATGTTGAACATAACATTCATCAAAGACAATGGTTTTATTTTAAAACCAAGAAGCAAAAGAATCTTTTGTTTTCAAGGAAAATTTTTACAATTTTACTTGAATAGTAACTCATCATGACCCCTAGAATATTATAATAATGTCTTTGCTTTAATGTGTTAAACAATTACTTTATTTTTGATTAGCATTACGATATTTTTGGGTATGCTTAAGTGTTTCATATTCTTACAATGAATGTTGCTTTCTATATACTGCACTTAAAATAGGGGAGAGAATACTTTCAAAAATAAAATAAGCTAAATTAGCCATTTCATCACAAATAATAATAATGAATAAATGTAAGATTTCTTCTTATATTTTTATAAAAAGCCTTCATGTTAAAAATAAACTAATTTTCAAATAAACCTATCATGAGAAATGGAAAAGAAAATTGACCAGGACTTGAACAATAAACACTGATACACTTTATATAATCTTTATTTGGATAAAACTAATTAGAATACAAAAATATGATCTTTTACTTCATAAATTACTGAAAAGCCATCATAGTACTTCCCTTCTATGAATAATAATGCGTTTTACAGAAGAACATACTAATTATTATTAACTTAAATTTCAATATCCGGAAGTGATTATTGAAAAGTGATGGCATTTACGTCGGGAATAAAATAATTTATAGTAACGGTAAAATTATTATATATTCAATAAGAACAAAATAAGGTTGATTTACAAGGATCAGAAAAATATCGCATTTACTTAAAAAAAGGTCGTAATTAAACGAACCAATTTTAAGAATAGTAGGAACGTTTGTATTCATAACAGAACAGATAATTTTCAATTAAAACACATCTTTTATCCCAAAAATGAACAAGATTGTAAATAGTATGTTCTTTAGCTAACACAAATTTGCATTAAAAGCAAAACGATCAATTAAAAATTATAGTAAACATGCTATTTAAACTGACTGTTAAATAGTTGAAAACAGCCTTTCTCACATTTGAATGTTTANAATAATAATGAATAAATGTAAGATTTCTTCTTATATTTTTATAAAAAGCCTTCATGTTAAAAATAAACTAATTTTCAAATAAACCTATCATGAGAAATTACTAAACATACTGAACAGGAAAAATTTTGACTATTATTCCAAAAAAAAAAAATTTTTTAACTGCACCTAGGGGATAAATAAAATAAACCTATATTCCGTTTGGGAGAAAACCACACACAGATAAACAATTAATTCCCTTATATCCCTTTTTTTAATTTTAGCATAAAAATGACTCTTTACAAACCTGTTTATCTTTACTAAGTAGTTGGGCGTCTTTAACGCTCAGCTGCTTTTGTAAACTAGCAATTTGTTCTTTGAGTTGTGTCATAGCAACTACATGATCCGAACTAGTTGGGTCTAACTCAGCTCTAGCTAAGTTAGGACCGGAATTATTTCGGGCTACTTTATTTTGGGGTCCATTCTCTGTTTCTACGGGAACTTTGGTAACATCTGCCCTTCGAGGCCTTTTACTGTGGCTTCGTAATCTAAAAAAATTCAGAACCATGTACTTTTTTTTCTTTATTTCTTTTTCTTTTTTTTTTATTTATTGTAAGTTAAAAGTGAATTTTTTAGTATTCATATACAATTTCGTTTGCTGTGTTTCTTTCTATTATTCTTTGTTTAAGGGAGTTATCATGTGTATTATTTAAAATAAATAGATAAATATTGTGAATGTCAATGAAATACTAGATAAGGTTTAAACTGTTTTACTGATTTGAAGATACCTCTGAGAATGGACGAGAGACCAAAATAATTGTAAATGATATCTTCAAATCGATAAAACAATTTAAACCTTATTTAGTACTTCATAGAAACTTACAATTTACCTATTACTGTTGTCAAATATAGAATTTTTTATGTGTATTCTGAACTTTTTATTGAAACTAGTACCCATCTTTTTGTATGTATAAAGATATGTTTTCATTGAAAGACCTATACTTACTTCTCTTTATGGTTATCCTTTGACTGTCTTAGATGTGACATTTTTAAATGTGCTCGTCTTTCTGCATCGCCCTGTTTGGTTTTCGCCAAAGCCCGTTTAAATGAAAGTGTACACAACCAACACAACAACTTCCCATCTACCTAAAATAACATGTACCATCCATATCCGCAACTTCAAGAGTAACTAGCCCATATTTACCTTTTTGTCATCATCATGTCTATCAAAAGCACACTTTTGTTTGCACTGCTCACAGTTGACGGGGGGTCCATACTTTATTTCAGAATTAGTACAACGTTGGCACTTGTTGCCTATAAACGCTGCAATTATATTGCAATATTCACAGGCAGTTGGCTTGCCGTAAGCTTTCACATTTTGTTCACACTTTTTACATATTGTGCTTGTATTTCCTTTGGTAGTTTGTTGAAATTCGGATCGACAATATGTGCATTTCACCACTGGAAATGCTCCACGACATTCCTGGGTGAAAAGAGGTGAATAAAGAACAATAAGGTTGCAACCTGAACTAATTTCTCGGTATTTCTTAAAACTACTCTACCTAATTTTCAATTTATGTATTTAGTATTGTGGTTATAATGTTAAAATGCCAAGTTACTACTTCAAATAAATAATACAAAAACGCACTTGTTTAATACATCAATTTGACTATGTAACTTAGCTTACACTACTAAATATTCAGAAAATATCGTTATATTTAGTATTGTTCTTTAAACAATAATAACTCATATAAAGATCCAAAAATTAAAACTACAAGTTAGCCTTCAAAAACGAGTAACATAAAACGTCTGCTATTCTATAGGATCTATGTACGATTCACTGAAATATACCTTTTTAGTGACGCAATTGATTAATAGGTACAGGTATATTTTTGCATTTTTTTGTTCAAAATACCATAAAATACATTTATCTTAGCATATAAATTAAGAAACTCACTTTGCAAAGCTGCTGACCTGGTGATAGATCTTCGAAAGGATGTCGTGAAAAACATTTGGAACATGCAAATAATGCTTGATACTGAGTACTCATATTCACAGAAATAAAACGTAATCAGTGGTGATGTACGAACTAATAGTCTATTTTAAATTAAAAAAAAATCACAAAATTCACTAATAATCACCAAATCGTATTTCAACGACACAAAACAAATTAAAATATTTAACGGACATTAAACATACATGGTTTGCAACGTATACAACGACATAACGGTGATCATCATGCGTAATCGCACCAGCAGTAGCAATGTGCAGTGTTCCCAACATAGACAAGTTCCCAACATACTTCTGTTAACATTTTAAACAAAAATTGTTGATATTTTTAAAATCTTTTGTGTTAGGAGGAAACTAAAAAGTAATTTGTATTTCAAAACATTTCTTTTTACTTTCCATTGAAATAAAAATGATGAATTTAACTGTAACCAGTACAGCAAAAATTTAATATGCTTAAAAATTATTTAATATCTTCTCTTTCATATTATGTAGTTTGTGACCCAGTTTTGGGAGATAATGGAAAGCTCTATGTCCCGGAAGAGCTAGTTCCTCTTTATAAAAATGTCATCACTCCTCTGGCTGATATTTTAACACCAAATCAGTTCGAAGCAGAGTTGCTAACTGAAAGAAAAATTTACAATCTTGATGATGCCCAACAAGCCATAGAGGTGTTACATAAAATGGGACCTAAAACTGTAGTTTTGTCTTCCACAGATNAATTAGCGTAAAGGATAGTTTTACAATTAAAACCACTAATAATTTTAATTTAATTTTTTAGTTATCGAAAATGTGCGCTTGAATTTAATCCTGAGCGTTTACAAGATGAAACATCAAAAAAAGTATTCGCTTTGATTGGTGAAGCTTATGATGTTTTAAGTGATCCATTGCGTAGAGCTGTATATGATCAATATGGAGAAGAGGGTCTCAAAAGGGGTGTTCCCATATCAAAAGAAAATTATTTCGCTCCTTATCATTATCACGGGGATCCCATGAGAACTTATAGGTAAATACAATTAATAAGTGAAGCTAATTAATACAATAAATATAATGAAATTTTATACTAATAAGGAACTTCTTTGGAACAACGTCTCCTTACGCTGACTTAATGGATTATCTCCTTAATCCCCCACCTCTTTTTGATCAACCTGAAGGAAGGGGTATACGTAAAAAACAACCCCCCATTTATCATATTTTATATTTAACGCTTCATGAGGTTTTCTTCGGTGGCGTTAAAAAAATGAAAATACAAAGACTACAATTTGTTGATGAGAAGAAAAACAGGACAGAAATAAAAGAAAAAATCTTAAGTATTCCAATAAAACCGGGATTAAGACCAAAAACACAAATAGTGTGTCCCGAAGAAGGAGATCAAAATCCAACCCAAATACCTGGTACGATAATTCGACCAAAACTATAAACGTAAAACCTTTTCTATACCAAATACGCGATTTTTAAAGGGGCGCACCTTCTAACTGCGACATGTTAAGATTAAATTTATTAGCGAATTATGGGATTGTAAATTTTACTACATGATAATTTTATTTTGTTTTTCACTTAACAGGGATAGAAGTTATTAGGGGTGGAAAAGATGTCTGATATGGATCGTGTAAATATACAGTCAGTGGCTACCTTCCTTTTTTACAAACTTCTGTTTACCGTTAGATTAAAATAAAAAAACTTTGTTTATTCAATAAAAAAGTAATCATAATTTTAGCTGATGTTATATTTGTAACGGAAGACAGACCGCACGAAACATTTCACAGAGAAAATGATGATCTCGTAATGACTGCTGACATTTCTCTGCAGGATGCTTTACTCGGGACAACTGTTGTTGTAAATACTATTGATCATAGGACTGTTAGAGTTCCAATAACCGACATTGTTCAGTAAGATTAGAAATGATTTATTCGTTACTTACACAAAATCTAAACAGTAAAATAATAAAATAATTCGAAGTGGTCTGAAAAATACGTAATCCTAAAATGTAACATTGTGCTACAGATGGCGTTCACTGTGCCGTTTGTAGTATTTTCTGAAGTAAAATAATAATTTTTTCGAAATATTTTACAGTCCGGGCTATGAAAAAATAGTTCCTAATGAAGGGATGCCCATTTTGGAGAACCCCAATACTAAAGGGAACCTGATTATAAGATTTAATATACATTTTCCCGATTACTTGCCAAAAGCATGCAAGGAAATTATGCAGAAGGCGTTCATCTGTTCGAGGGCAGGAGGTGGATTTGGACAAGACGAAATGATAAATAAAATTGTTCTTGCTGACAAAATACTACGGGTTGATCCTGACGAGCAAATGCCACCGTGTTTTAATTGAGCAACGATTAATAATTATCTATTATGTTCTTCTTTTTAGACTTTAATTTTCTAAAAAGGAAGTGTTTCTAGTGTTTGATAAAAAGAATTTTAGATCTGAATAAATAAAATAGTGTTTCTAACAAGATATTATATTAATTTATTTATTTCTAAACTNCTTAAACGGGCATAAAGCTCTAAGCTCTAATACAAAATTAAATTATTCAGATTATTGAATATTAAATAATAATTATTAACTGAAACAGAAGCCAAAAAGATAAGAAGCAAAATATATAAACAAAGAGAAATTTAAATCAAGTATCATGATTGTGTCTCTTTATTTATTTATTTTGTTTATAGTCTAATAGTGTGAATATATGAGTCTATTATTTTAAAATAATGACTTACCGCCATCTGTACAAGTTAAAGCTGATATTGTTAATTAAAACATAAAAATAAATTCATAGATAAAATCTTAATGTGCATAATAGTTTTTAACCGGTTCGAATGTTAAAAATTTTTGCTGTACCATCATCAGAAGTAGTTAGGACAGTAGACCCATCTTCCGAGATGCTGAGACTTAGTATGGCAGCAGTGTGTCCCGTCAAGGTTTCCACAAGAGTTCCTAATTTCCCATCACATACATAAATAGCACCATCGGCTGCACCCACCAACACTTTATCAGTAACAGTCCATTTCATTATAGTGACAGAGGATTCTATTCTGGCTTCATGTCTCAAAGTATATTTTCCTATGTCCCACACACACAATCGACCTGATAACGATCCAGTTGCGATAAGTCCTAATTTGTTATTAAATTCGACTGCTTCAATATCTTTTTCTTTGTCTGGTAAAATAGAACCGATGATGCGCCCATCTTGTAATTTTATGACCTGTCCTGAGGGGGCTATAGCACAAACATTACCATCACTGGAGAGACTTAAAGATGTTAAAGGTGCGTCAGATATGTCGCTGAGTTGCCACTCGCTTGAAACCGTTTTTATATCCCATAGTTTTAGTTTACCATCTGAATAACCGGATATAAGACGTTTACCATCAGGTAATAACTTAGCACAAGTTGAGGCTACCCCATGGGATGGCAAAATTTTGCAAGTACCAGATGGTACTTGCCAAAGATAAATATCTCCTGACTTTGTACCACAAAAAAGTACATTAGATATTGGATGCCACAATAACCATTCCAAATCGTCTACTTCATAGCACCAAATCAATTTCTTTTCGATAATGCTCCAAACCTACATTTATAATTTAAATTTAATTATACTAATTTGTAATATATTTAGGAGTATCTACTGGTGTTGCTAATGATTTATTATGCGTTTTTAAAAGCATCATTACCTACGGCATAGGGGCTAGGGGTGGAGCACACAACAACCAAAAAAATTTACTTCAAAGGTTGCACAATAGATTCTTAAAGATAATACCGATAAAAAAATAACTCTTTTATCACATCTCTGCAGGTATTTAGATAACATAAAGATGTAACTTCAAAGACTAGTCTTTTGATTACTACTAGCAGGTCTAATAAATTTCTTTTCAACATTAAAAACGATGGGTGATAAATATAAATACAAAAGCAAATTAAATTTACTTTACCTGTATTAAACCACCCATATCACCAGTGGCCACATACTGATCATCATGATTAAACAAAACTTCAGTTACAGAATCTTTATGGCCAGTACATTCTATGATAACATCTCCTGTTTCCAATATCCACACAAAAGCTGAATCATCCTCGCCACCAGTTACAGCAATTTTACCATCTTTACTTAAAGAACTACTAAATACGGATTGCCCATGTCTAGTAAATGTATATTTTGATAAATCAACTACTTCTGTTTGAAATTCTTCAGGCTCTTCAAAAGGTATATTTTCAAATTCATCCACATCTTCTTCAATTACATCATTACTTTCTTCTTCATCTTCGTCGTCAAAATAAAGTACTTCTATTTCTTCTTCAGGGACTGCTACTTCGTCGTCGTCCATTGTGCTGTTTTAAGCCGACTACTACCTATATTTTCACTTCAACAAAATGCCGCAAACTACATAGATATATTGTCCCAATTGCTTAAATTTCTTTGTAACATTAATGTTTTAGACCGGTTCATAAAGTCAACATAGCTTCTTTATAGATTAATTCAATTAACAAGAAAATCATCAAGAAAATAATGTTAGGTTAAATAAATAAAACACACGTACAAACCATACATTGCCACAGATAAGGTATAAGCATAGATACGTAAAAGTATGATCAATGGATGTGTCTCCTGTTAAGCTGATTGGTTGATGCATGGGCGGTACGTCTAGGCCTACGTAAGGGCTTTTTTCTTTTTAATAGATATGTTTCTTTGGTTATTTAATTTTAATCTTGCCTATAACCAATAAGCGTTCTATGGAGATTAAAATTAAAATACAATCTAATAACATTAAATTTGTTTTTAAAACAATTAATAACACGATGAAACCCTGCAGGAGACACTCCCAAACTAAATTTCGTGTCTGATATGGATCGTGTNTTACCTCAAATATCACAACTCTTGGTTTAATAAAAATAATAAATAGTGAAAATGCTTTAAAAATTACACACAAATAAGATTCCATATGGTTACACTAGAGGGCATTGAAAAATTAAATTAATTTTTTGATTTTCTTTGAAAAATAAACATTTTCAAACGATTTCCCATCAATTAATGAATACTCAGAAATCTATTTTACAATTAAAAAAATATTGGTTAACTGCATGTTCCTCTTAATTAGTAATAATTAACTAATTAGCAAAAACATGCACACATTTAAACTTAAAAATCTTCATAACAAATTCTGTAGTATATTTAGGAAGGAAAATTTAAAATACAATAAATTCTTTATATGACAATTAATCATTTCCTGCATTTTTTTATAAAATGATAAGCTGTTGGCATTTGATTAACTGTTATTGACAAGTAGGACTTGTAAAGCAAATTAAAAGTATTTGTATTTTTTTAAATTACAAGTTATTAACTTGAAATTTACTCTGATTTAATTTTTTTAGACTTAGATTCTTCTTCCTTTATTTCCTTATTAGAAAATCGTTTTCTACCAAACCTCTTGCACTTTTTATATTGACTTCTCTTTTTATTAATATCTTCTGCATTTTTCTTAAGAAACTCTTTTTCTTCTTCTCCTTCTAATACTCTGAATTTTAATTTTACTTCACCAAGTTCCAGCTCTCCATTATTTAATTTTTCATAAAATTCAACAGCAGAATTTTCTCTTGGCATTCTTGCATAACCTTCAGTTTCTCCTTTATAGTAATGAACAAATGAAGGTTCCTCATTAGCAATTTCAGTCATTTTTTCTTTAATTTCTTCTCTGGTAATTACATCCTCTTCTTTAATTCCCGAAAAATACAATATTGCACCCAGGGGATAATCAAGCTTGGTTTCGGTAACTTTTTCTTGCAATTCTGTTTTTCCTTTCTTTTTCTGATTCTTTCGCTCTTCATTTTCTTTTTTTTTTTCATCAAAGTAAACTGCCTGCGGCTTAATAACAAGTTCTATGTCTTTATATTTGATTGACTTAGTATCAACAAATTTTTCACAAATTTCTTCATCTTTGAATATTATAAAACATGAACCTTTGAATATATTCTTTTTTGTCGCCTTATCTGGATAAGTACGTTTAATGCAAGATTCAATGGGACCGTATGGCTTCAAAAAATCGATTATGTCGTCAAGAGATTCATCTGCAGGAAAACCTTTAGCATATGCTAAAACAAAGAGAAAAATAAAATTTGTATTTACATATTTCCTTATTAGTAACTTTTAGACTGCTGCTTATCTATATATAAATTATATTAATAATATATCTTATTATAACGCACCTGTACGTTTCATAAGTTGTTTCCTTCTATCATCATCAAGTTCTGGTGCTGGTTTATTTGGAGATCGTCGTAATTTTTTTGAATCTTCACTGACTTCAACAATACCACTTCCTGAATTCTTAACTGCCTTTATAATCACATCAGCATCTGTACTTAGACTAGCAAGCCTTTTAAAAGTTAATAGTACATCAACGCCAATCCATCCCTCGTCTTCTTTAATCTTCTCCTGCAGAAACTTATCTCTGGGTAGGTTAATATCACCGAAGTAATATTCAATTTGTCTCGCAATTTTTTCTTCTAAATCGTCAGCCATTTTATTGTTAAGGGAGAGATATTTCCTTTTTATTATTACAAATTCGTTTGCATAGGTTGAGTTGAAATAAACGATTTTGCTGATAACATGTGCAGTAAGGGTACCAACCATAGATAATAGATACACAAAGGGTACCAACATATACATTAATGGCTACAAACTGCTACAAACTATAAAAACTGCTGCTACATTTGATGATTTGGCGGCAGAAAACACACCACGCGGTGTCTACGAATATGTCCGATTTTTACCGAAGAATATTAATTTCTGATACATGTCTGATATATTATCTATGGTCTGATACATTATTTCCGCGCTAAGAACGGAATGTACGTATATATACATTATCATTTCATCTTCTTTTGTTTCGACTTTTATAAAGAAAAACGAACGGAATATATTATCATATTATACATCATAATAGTTATACATATATGGCCATAGATAATTATATGACAGTACAAAATGAATTCGGGGAATTTCGAAACTAGTCGATTAGATTCGATAATGTTCAGCAGATACACCGTGCGGTGTGTTTTCTATCTCGAAAACATCAATAGAGAATAGCTTTACATCATCAATGATTACCATATGACTGAACGATTAACCCATTGATAAAACAGGGCATAGTAGTTTCCATCGACATGTATTGTTTCCACTGAGTTGTTCTTTGCAGGCGTTTTTAACAACTCCCACCACAGAATTTCAACCCGAAATTTTAAATTCGAAACGCACTGGGTAGTTTCACAATTTTTGTGGAAGTTAACTTTCTTGTTTTTACTAATAATTAGAGTTTAGAAAATGAACACATTAACTAATAAAAACACCAAATCATTGCTATTTTTCAATTCACTTAACCTTAGCCATTTAACAAAAAGTTCCTAGTAGTTTTTTCTTAACCATTTAGTATAATTAGATACTTTTTCTCAACTTTTCTTACAATAGGTATATTTTTTATTCCATTTTAATTCTTTATGTAGAATAATTGATAGCTTGGTACATAATTACAACACCAAAGCCTACTTAAATCATTCATTAACTAAAACAACTCAAACGAATGAAACATTTTAAATATCTTATTTTTCTACCATTTGTGATTAGATTAAACAGATTTAAAATTAGAAATAAAAAATTTCAAGTTTACTAATTAAAAACCAACTGAATAAAGCAAGCACTTTATTTTATAAATGTGTAATAGAATAGGTACTATAAGCATTTTTGTATCACAATTGCCATAATTTTGTGGTGTATCATATTATGCCATAGGTGATTGTCTGGCAACATAGTTAATTAAAAATTAAATCAAAAAGAAAAATTTCACCTTAAAACCACATTCAAAAAAATCTTACAACAGACAAAAAACTACAAATGTAGGTGTACATTTTTGAATTAAAGAAAATGATTATCAATTTTATTTTATAATTCACTAACCTTGCAGAATATTTTTCAATAAAGGTCCAAGTTAAAAATATTTTTTCATGTTTGTACATATATTATACATATGATAAGACGATTTTATGGCACAATAATAATGATGGGTGTAAAGCTTCCCAGTCTGTCGTGATTGTATGTGCGATAATACAAGTCATATAGTATTTGCAAGCATATTTGTGCAGTTATAGTAACAATAGTAATATAAAAATAATTGTATTACATATAAAAAATATGTAGAATAAGCGCAAAGAGACGGTATAATGGATTGTTTTATAGTTAGATCATCAGATTTTAAGAGACTTTATACAAAACTTGTATTAAGATAAGTATGGACGAACTACCCCTGAAGCTATGTTTCTCATATTTTTTATGCAAGCTATTACTATTCCAGTCCAAAACAGTAGCCCTAAAATATAGCATTTTTGAAAGTAAAAAGAAAGTATTTTATTTCGGTGAATAGAAATTCGGAAGTGGTGTTTGCTTATGTAACAGATGTATGTAGCAGACATCAAATATATGTAGAAAACCCAAAAATATTGAAAAAGTTCAAAGTGTTACTGTTCAAATTCAAATGGCTTAAACTACAGAAATGCTTTTATAAAATCATTGTTCGCTCCAGTTTATTTCTAGACAATTAATCAATTGCTTTTTTAGTTAACACCTACCAGTGTAAACTACTAGAAGAATTATTTTTTTTTATTTAGCACATAATTTTTCTTGTTATGCAGGTACTTTAGTTATAGCTGGAGTAGATAGATATTTTTTTTATCACGACCTAATCAACAATTACGAGTATAAAATAAATTACAAAAATAAAAACTTTTTTAATTAGTCACTTCCGGTATTACTTAATAAATACGATACAAAAAAAATAAAACTTTCGCTGCTGGGATAGATCACCCACACCTCTACAGCACTTTTACTTTCATTTCGATTTACAATGTTTTTACACAGATTTCTTGCCGCTAGTATGCATTTCGTTTAGTTTTCTAAGCCAATTTCTATACTGTTAAAAGGGCATATTATTGGTCCCAGCATATAAAAAGTAGTTGCTGATGAAAATATGTGAAAAATTGATTGTCATTAAAATAAGTACAATTTTTTTTAAATTAATACTTGTACAGCCATTAATTAATTGATGTTAATAATAGCGTCTTTTTAGAAATGCTGCTGCCTATAACTGTCAAGGTAACCTATGAAGTTGTCTAAGCGTTCACGAAAAGCACCGACTTGTGTTTAATTATACACGTATGCGTTCACTATTTTTGGAATGCAAAAGCAAACAATTCATTTTTATTACCAAGATAAAATTAATAATAAAAGAATTATTTATGTTAAACGATATCAATGCAATAAAATGCATATTAAGATGCACTTGTGTGTATTTTTGAATTACTTATTGATAAATGATTGCTTACTATATAATAATGAATATATTAGTTTAAAAGCAAAATTTGTTTTAAAGATAAATTATTTTTGGTTTCGTTGTGCATCATTTCTTATTCCTATAAAAAAAAGAACAGGCAATACTGAATACTGAATTAAAAAAATTACACTAATCTAAACTTAACAAAAAAAAATGTAAAACAAATAATTAATAATGAATTTAAATCGACAAAAAATGTCGAATTAATTAAAAAATAC